CGATTATCGATCGATATTTAAAGTACTAAATACTTTCTATTTACGAGCTTTATATTAGTTAACTTTCGCTTATAAGGCCTTTATATACTTAGTTATCTCTTTAGGTATTTAGTCGAAAGATATCTTTTCTATAAGGGGCGATATACTCGTTTCGTATTCTATATATATTATAAATAATAGTAGAGCGTATACTCTTCTCTCTCTTAGTAATACTATATAGTATTCGCTTTTAATTAGGTTAGGAAGTCTTTAAACTTAGCTATATATTAAAGCTTCGATTATAGCTATAAAGCTAACGTCGCTTTCTATAGCCGATATACTTTTTAGAAGCTTCTCTCGCTCTTTTAGTACGCTTTCTATACGCTTTAAAATAAGTTTACGTAATAAATTTCCTCTTAACTTTATAATTATTATAAAATCTAAGCGTCGCGATAAGACGTCTATAGAGTTATCTTTTCTCTTACAATACTAAATAATAAAGTTAAATATAACTAAGTATTTTACTTATTATACTTATTATTTATTTAATTTCTTTATAGTTATAAAAAACTATAGTATTTTATAATTAAAGAGTATAAGTATACTCTTAACGAGAGCTTTAAGATAGTATCTTTACTACTTAAAGATCTTTACGATTATAAGTATTTCTTAATTCGCGATAGAATAATTCCTTTATTTCTTAGAAAACTTCTTAAAGTAGAACGCTATTGATTTTTATATATCTTTAGTATATTTTAGATTCGTATAGAGTTAGAAATAAATTCTATTTATTATCTTTATCGATATATTAACTTTAATCTTTAATTATAGCCTATAATCGAAGTAAGTTAGTAAAGATATATTAAAAAAAAGATTCTTAAGAAATTAAAATATATACTTTATATTCTTAGGCTATAGAAAAAGTTTAATCTTCTTTTCTTTTTTTATTTCTTTAAGAAAATTAATAATTAAGATCGTAACGATAAAGTAAAGATATATAAATTTATAATAAAAGTTCGTGAATTTAATAAAGATTTAAATATCTCGATATATTATTAATATAAACTATTCTTAAATTACTTAAATTTTATCGAAATTAATTAATATATTTATAATATTTATTCGAAACCCTAAAAAGTTTATAAAATTTTTTCGAAATTTATATTTTTTTAACTTTACGAATAAGTATTTTTCTTAAAGCTTTATTAATACTAAATATATATATTATATATACTCTTTAAGGTTCTCGCTATAAATTAAGATATTATTTATATATATAATATAAATTTCGTCGAGTAATTATCTTAAGACTTCGTTAATATAATCTTAGAATATAGTAAGTATATTTATAAGATTAAAGAGTATAACTATATACTTATAGTAACTATAACGAGTATAAAATATAGTCTTTTAGTAGTTTTTCTTAATTATAGATATTCTATAGTAAATATCTCGAAGATTTAGTTTAGTAAATATCTTTACTCGTAATAGTCGATTTAAAATTTTCGAAATAAGTAGAAGTAGTCTTCGATTTTTAATAATAACTTTATTTAAGATTTAGTAATTAATATAAAGACGTAGTTTTCTATTCTTTTTAAATATAAAAAGTATTAGTATTTTTATTAGTAACTAACTTTTCTAGATTTATTTATTTACTCGAGCTTTTTTAATATATTTACGAAATATTTATTACTTATATATACTTATAGAGTAAATAGATTTATATAGAATACTCTTATTCTTCTCTATAGATATACTATATCTTATTTTAACGCTTCTTAATAAAACGATCTTAGATTTCTTCTCGAAGAAGACTTTAACGAAGTCGCTATATTTAAGTAATAATTATAATATATCTATCTTCGCGATATATAAATACTTCGTTTTATATTCGTTTTAAAGTCGCGACTTTAATATAGCGACTATTATACTAATATATAATTTAGTAAGGATTTCCTTTAAGTTTATCTCTATAACTAAGAGCTTTATAGTACGATAATATTACTCTCTATTTATTTAATTAATATTAAGATTTACTTTCTCGAGCTATAGATATCTAAGTATTATATTATACTTTTAAATATCGATTATAATAAAGTTTATTATACGCGAAGTAAATATACTATAGATATTCTATATACTTATTTCGAGAGAGTATAGTTTATATATTCGTAAAATATAATTATTTATACTATATACTCGAATAGTATAATTACTAAGAAGTAATTCTTTATCTATAATTACGAATTATAAAATAAAGTTCTTCTTAGCCCTAAAGTTAATAAGTATATTTAGGGGCTAATTTATAAACGTTATTACGAGATTAGCTTAAATAATAAGAGAGTTAAACTTACGCGCGTTTATTATAGAGATACTTAACGCTATAGAAGCGCTTATAATATTAATATTTAGTTTTTTAGCTTATCGCGATAAGAGTATATATTAGTTATATTTATATCGCTTCTTTTACTCTCTTTTTTAGATTTACTATAATATTTAAATACTTTATACTTAGATTTACTATACTTATAGTAAATAATTAATTTATTTATCGTAAATTTCTTTCTTTCGAAGTAATAAGTCTCGACGATAGTATTAGTATTTAAATAGCGTTAATTAATACTTTTACTATACGAAGAGAGTTCGTTATATTTACGCTTCGATAAGAAGAGCTTATCGAATTATTTAGCTTTCTCTTATTAAGTTCTCTAGCGATTTAGCTTCTTTTAGCGCTAAGTCTTAGCTAGAATTTACTTATAGCTATTAATCTTCTTATACTCGCGTAGAATCTTCGTATATAGATCGAAGCGTAAATAGTTAAGAAATAACTACGCCTTTTATTTATCTTTCGTAAAAGTCGATATATTCTTTTCAAGAATCTCGATTTCGTTTAAAAGATATTATATTAATTAGAAGTCGCTTTACTTCTTATTCGCTAACGTTTATAGTAAGTTTATTATACGGTTCTCTAGATTAAGTATAACTTCTTAATAAAAAGTTATAAATTCGTCTTAAGTAATATAAAGTTTAGTATATCTTAGCTAAGAAGTAATCGTAATATCCTTAAAATATATAGTTACTTTTTCGATATATTTCGCTTACTTTTCGAGAGTAAAGAGTCTATTAACTCTATTCCTTATTTACTATTTAGTATTAAAAGTCTAAAGCTCTTAAATATTTTTTTTATAGTAATAAGAAGAGTTTACTATCTTAAGACGATTTATAAAGCGTTCCTTATTCGAAGATATTAAAGAGCGTCGTCGTTTCGCGCTAATATACGCTACGCCCTCGATATAGATCGGTTTCGTAAGCGCTTCGCCTACGACTTCGAGTTCGAGTACCTTAAGCTTAAGCTAACGATTCTAACGCCTACGCTACTTAATAACTAGCGCTCGAACGCGTTCGTAACGTTCGTTAAACGCCGCCTCGGTTTCGTCTTTAGGAATATCGGGCGAGTCCCTATACGGGCGTGACCCGGATACGTTTAGGGAGTGATCCTCCCTCGTCGGGGTTAGGCCTAGGGTGCCGCTCGAACGGGTTGCTGGTACTATTACTACTTCCGTTAGATCGTTATTTAGGGAAGGCTTTGAGAATTATCATAGCCTTAAGGGTTTGAGTATCCGTAGAACCTATGTTCCCTATATGTATCGTGTGCGCTAAGCCTGCTGCGGCTGGGCGAGTTTAGGTGGTTTGGTAGGTGCTGGCCTAACAAGAGCATGGAAGAGAGGGTTGCAACAGTGATAGAGGCAAAAGGATAGTATACACGATTTTAGGAGTGCCAAACCACTAAGTTTTCTGTATACCAATCGATAGAGAATCACACGGCGATTAAAGTGCACTAAAAATAACCAACTACAGCCTAATGTGCGTTGGCAATGTTAATTAGTATGGTGGTGGCATAATACGGCTGGGATCAAAAAAGTGGTGGTATGCCCAGACTTTTGAGCGTAAACTGTAAGTTACCGTACAGTATATCATGCTCACCATGCAACAGCCTGCGCCCAATTCTTAGGACATGAACGCTGCCCTCGCAACCCATTTTTTGATTCCTTTGTTCTGCATATGCATGCATGCACCATCGCGGCTTTCCTTCTTCCTTCAATCAAAAGTCGTGCCGGTCACACAGGTGCTTTTGCTGTGCAGAGCCTTTCTGCTGGAATCTTTCGTCTTCGAAGAGGTGTCACTTGACAGTTGTTGGCCTATAACGTCTCTCTGTCAAAGATCTACCTGCGATGTCGAAGTCTACCACCGTCGCCCACGTGCTACCGGTCGTACAATGCCGATTTCCAATAGCAGGCGAGTTCTGCGTTTCGCACTGTTCTGCCCGAATTGAGAGCCTCAAGTCGACACAAGCCGGTCACGAGCTTGCAACCTATTTCATTGCTTTTCGAAAAAGAATGCTAGCTACGAGTGCCCAACGACTGCTGCTTGAGTGACCAGACTGTGGCTTTCGGTATCGGGCAACTTCCATGCATATTTGATGGTGGATGGCTCAAGATCGCAAGAGCGGCTTGACAACATCAACTCCACAGAACGGACAAGGGGACGACCACGCACGGCGCATGTTGCTCAACTCAGTGTTCAGCTTGTTTCCGCGCTCTGCTCTCGCCTCCACGCAATCTCCTTCTCTCATCTGGCTTACACCATCAAGCCGTTGCTGTTCTCAAAAACTTATCCACGAGTCGGACGCAGCCCAACGCTTCTGCAACTCATTTAAAGTGAGTCCAGATCCCCAGACCAGGTTACTCTGTACTACAGACATACTCCTGCTCGTATACGCCTTCGTTTCTGGCCGAGGGTCGTCCTACGCAGATCCCAGATATTCCTCTCACAAGGCTGGCCGTTATTAGGTGATTTATCTGTTACGAGCGTGCTTTCTCCTATAGGTCTCTCGCTTCCTGAAGCTCCTGGTCTCTCCCCATGCACCGGGTCGCATTTGCTGCTACGACAAGAATGAAGCGACGTCATATCCTAGCAGACTTTCCCCCATGGTCCAAATTCTTGCATTCATACTACTCCACTTACATAGGCTTATCCTTCTCTTCGCCACTCTGATAGTACTCTGGATAAGTTCCCTTGTAGCCTAGTAGCCACTCTCCAATGACCACCCTGGCGACGAACCTGAAGAGCCAGCATACCTGCCTGCTCACTAATGTTGACGTCTTCCCCATTCCGGGCAATACCAATGGAGCCTGGATCTCATAAACAAGCCTGAACAGTTGGAAAGGGCTGGGCTGCTGGTTGACTTTTCTGCAATCCTCCATGTATCCAGAGAAGTTGCGGAAAAAGCTTTCTTCCCTTGCAAAGTCCGCTGGATCTGTACGGATTGAAATAATCAAGTCGTCCCCAACTCCACTTGCATTTTCATACTTATGAAATGCGCCCACGGGAATGTGAACTTTGTCTCCTTGCTCGGCCATGATCACTTTACCGTCGATCTGGAATCGAGCTACACCTGAGGTGACGAGGAAGTCTTCGGTTTGGTACATGTGAAAATGAAGTGGCGGATTATTGGGCAAACGGCCATGGGCAGCGGTGGTTGCTGGAGTCTTATATGTGACCACCCACGGATGAGATGGGTTGTGAAGGTGCCAAGATTCCCGGCCTCTTTGTACAACGACAGGATTGAGATGTGCTGTTTTAGTTCGTGGCGTCTGTGTGCACATGAAGGAATGGAAGAGGAGAGGGACACCAGTGTGCCACAACTGGAGACGGGATTCACTCGACTTATCTACCTTGATGTCGCCTCCGTCTAGATCTGCCTTGCCTGATCGGCTTCGCTGCGCAGTTCTGTTCCAGATTATGCTCGTATGCGCCGCTCCTTGGCCTCGTATGCGCATTTTAAGCGAGACCACGAGCCTCGTATTGGCAGTCCATTCGCTCGTAACACAACATTGAGTTGTTCAGCTGAGCTCGTGTCCGCGTCTTGGTCTGGCTTTAGAACTCCTGGACACCTACCAATATGCAAAGCCTGCCTGACAGGGTCTCTGTGTATATGGGATGTCATTCGTGTGAGTTCGTCGTGGCCCATATTCCTCATGCTCGATGTTCCTTTTCCGCCAATCAGAGAGTGTCATTTGCGGGGAAATCAATCACCACCACCATCACCATCACCACCACCCCTACTCCGTGTTGATGCGATCTTTCACCGCATCAACCGCTAGACCAATCGCGCGATCCAGGGCCTGGCTCTTATGTCTTTCCATGTGTTCAATACGACCTCGAACCAGGATCCCCGACTCTTGCCATGGAATGATGCGGCCAGTGCCATAATGAGGACGATGAATGGAATGTGATTGTCTATTCCAGAGTCTACCAATCCATTCTCAAAGCTCACATTGACATCGCGTCTGCTCTTGCCTGCTCACATATCCTGGTTGCTGAGAGCTTAGATGTTGTCGCTCAACGACCTCGCAGCGCATCATTCGTCACCTGTCAAGCCCAGCTCTTGCGCAACTCTCAAAGATCATCTCTTCTCCGTGCCTGTCAGTCACCTCGAGTGTGGACCGCAGAGCTGCCTAGTCACCAAGACTGTTTTCGCCCGCCGCAGGTGTAGTTTCGCGTTCCTCCTTGACCTTCTCGATTACGTCTTGCTCTTCATCCGTGCCGGCATTTCCAGCCGAAGCCGCGATCTTTCTCTTCTTGTTTGTCGCTGGGACTGCAGTAGTCTTCTTTGCGGGTGTCTTCTTCGCCTCAGCACCTGCGCTCGCCTTTCCGCCACTCTTCTTTGCTGGAGACGGGGTGTCGCCGGTTGAAGCTGCATTACCGCTACCAGAGTCGCTCACGATACGATCTTTCACGAGATCAAACCCAGCGCTTTTGACAATGGACCGGAATCTCCTCTGACTAAAAGTAAAAATGCTGGTCAGTGTAGTGCTACAGGGAATGCATTGGTGCAAAGGATGGTTTCTCACGCGTTCCCAGCGGTGTTGATGCCGAGCTCTTCAGCGACGCCGCGGTAATCTGGTTTGCCCATATCAGTGTGCATCAGGACTGTCATCACATAGGACAGCTTTTCCTCCGTAGTCGCACTCGCCATGGCGGATGATAAGAGTCTGCTAAAGTGGGTTGAAAATGTGTTGAAGTGTCTCTAAAATGGTGGGAGGTTTTGTTCTCGAGTGAGTGAAGGTGAGGCCAGCTTCGAGCAAGGAAGAAAATGATGAGAAGGATTTGGAGGATATTGTTCACCCTGCCTGAGTCTTAAAGTGAACATCAAAGAGCACCTCACTTCAATTTACCGGCCTTTCTTTTCGTTCACTTTGAGCTTAGAATCGTTCACTTCGGCTTCAGTCTTGTTTACCATTGCTGCATGAATCAGCCATCAATATGCAAAGAGATGAGCTCAATGCCATGCATCAAGGTCTGCCACTTCTTGTCATCTCATTGCGAGCCTGACAGAATCTCGTCCTCCTCACATCCTGGTTGAGAGTCAATTCTTCTACCGTAGCCAACTCAATATAACCGAGACCGCTTCCCTGAATAAGGACGTGCGAAGAGGAACAAATCAAGCGCTTGGAGAGCATGCACGTTGATTGACAGGAAACGATTTCATGGAGCCATGTTGAAGGATCTATCTGGGTAAACCCATATTACCAATGTCCAGGTAAGCGGCGATGACAACGCCATCGTCCTGTGTATCTTTCGTGAAGACTGGCTCTTGATCACATTAGTAGACGTGGCTTGCAGACGACAAAGAAATTGAAAGAGCGTCAGTCGATAACGGCTTTGGGGGTGACCGACGGAGTCGACCAGTCTGTGCCGACGACTTCTTCAGATACCCGAATCTGGCGAAAACCCGTCATTGCCCAATCCGCAACTTGAATCGGTCCCAGTAGCATTCCACCAGTTCTTGCAATCTCCCCACCATTGATTCCAGCGGTCACATCCAGCCTGAGCGGTGCGAAGAGCCTCAGACTGGTCCAGAGACGGCCAGATGTCCGTCGCAGCCTTCTGGCGTTCCAGAATCTGCAACCCCAGTCCGAAAGAGGCATGCGTAGCGATGTGGCAATGCAGCAGCCAGGTCCCGGGGTTGTCGGTCTTGAAGGCAATCACGACGTAGCCACTATCAGGCAGGAAAACGACGTCGCGGCGGGGTGGATTGTCTCGTTTGAGGTCAAGCCTGTCGGGATATGTTGCATTCTCAATCTGCTGCAAGATCGCAAAATCGTGCCCATGAAGGTGAATCTGTCCAGTCAATGTCAAAACGGAGTGAGCTCTGCCCCTTGGCCATCACCTACCGGATGTGCTCCAGTCGAATTGCTATATAACTTCCTGCCTTTGATGACCATGTAGACCTGTAGAGCGGTTAGCCTCGAAGCCAGATATGCCCCGTTCATGCTCGAAAGCTCACCCAATCCGTATCTGTGTAATTCTCTGGGATCACGACCGCACGATCATCCCATTTCCCCTTATATCCTAGTTTGAGAAAAGTCGGGCTGCTGTAGTCGATCTGTAGGGGGATGAAGTCGTCAGCGCCCACAGAGAAGAGCGCGAGCGGGAAAATATTAGGAGATTTCTGCAATTGCACCGCGAAGCTCTCCCCAACTTGGTCCGGAGGGGCATTTGCTGCCGGTCCGATGGTCCAAGGTACGATAGGCTTCAAACTCGAGTAAGTCTCATCCGAGCAGCGTGTTGAGATATTTCCGTAGGGATTCGAGCTCCACGGGAGAGTGCTTGGAAGAGCGTTGGAGGTATTATCATATCGCAGAATTCCTGCTCTTTCGTAGCCGTCATCACCCTGGGGAAAGAAGAAGCAGTTGGCACGCCAGGTACGGATCCAATAGTTGCCATCCTTGGGTATCGGATTACCAGGATTTGCAAAAGGGTCTGCTGTGACGATAACGTGGTAGCGCTGACCAATGCCAACAAGGACAGACGTGTTAAAGTAGGGATGTATTGGAACAAAGTCGGCGCCGACGATTTGTAGCAGGTGATTGTCAATCGAAAGGACGAAGGTTGATTCGAACGAGACGTTGATAATACGCAGCAGGTAGCGTTTGGCTCTGCCTTTGGTTGAAGGATCGAACGTGATGGTGTATGGAGTTGGAATGGCAGTTTCATTGTGCACCTTGTTGTTGTATCGAGTCACATTCCCGCGCCCATTGAGCAGAATACTCGGGTCTGTCAGGTTATTGGTCCATATGGCCTCAAAGGCACTGTTATGCCCTGTTTCGGACGTCAGCCAATGACTTTTCAAGGCACGGAAAGGAGCAGGGGTCCCGGTCGGCGTGATGATAAGGACAGCTGCATTAGCTACTCACCCCAATCAGTCAGCAGTAACGGCATTTTTGGCTCATCATAGGATGCTGAACTTGGACCATGCAATGTCTGAAAGCATGTCGAGTAAGTTTCAAGTGGACCTCGAACACCACAAGGGTTGGTCAAGCCTCACTTACAATAGGGCCAGCTGCGCCATCGGCATACTGTACCGAATAGTGGCTGTGGTACCACGAGCTTCCTGTAGGATGTCAGCACCTGGTATGGACATCTATGTCTTTGACAACAAGAGCACGATCCTTGAACGAGGACGCAACCACCACAAACATGCCATTTCATGTGCAAACACCCCCAAGGATGATAATTTTGACCAACAACAAGGCTAAAATTCACGGTGTTCCCGAGAAGCACTCACCATACTGCATCGCCCTCCAAGTATAGTTGAACGTGTCTCCAGGGGCGATGGGGCATTGAGTGACACCATTAACACCGTCCATATGCATAGTCAGCCATTGTCGAATGCCGTGCCAATGAACGCTAGTGCCATTCTTCTTGAGCTGGTTCTTGACGACGATTGTAACATTCCATGTGGTGGTCAGCAGACAGACAGAGACGTGAAAGGGCTAAAGGGAGATTTACATCACCCCAGCAAGCTTGGATCCAAGGGCCAGGGTACGTTCCATTGAAGAATTTGCCTTCCATAAAGTTCAATCCATCGGCATTGATCCAACCATCGGTGATGTTCATGTAATAGGCACGATGTACACCCACTGGGGTCTGGTTGCTGTCTTCGTAATCTGTGTGAATGTTGTACTCCTGGCCAGTGTGGTCATTCTTTAACCAGCATTCTCGATTGTCTGGAGTGGAGCAAGGGCTCCATCCGACCATGTTCCGGTAGTCGCAAAGGAAATCGGACCCAGGACCATCAAGACGGCCACCAGGAGGTTTGAAGATTGGACCTTTGGCATTTTCGGGGTGCCGTCCGCCTGAAGAGGCCACAAGCGGCGTCTGTTGATCATTGTATGGAGAGACGGAGCCAAAGGTAACCAGATAGACGACTGTCGTCCAGAACCTCTCAACGAGACGCATGGTCACCTATGTTCAGGTTGAGTAGCAGTAAATGGTCAGCGCGAAAGCGAGGGCAATTGTATCTGGCTGTGCAAAGATTCCAAGCCAGTAAGACACTGGGTGAAGAGCAGACTTGTAAAGAGGATCATGGTTGAAGGAATGAATTTGGACGCCGCAAAGCACACCACCAAAACGAGCATGCCCAGCTGTGGCTGGCTGATACAGATTCAGGTGCATACTGCATGTCTTGCTTTTTGGAGTTCAATTATAGCAGTTCGAGGCAATGTTGGCAGGTTGATGAAACTCGATATGGTCTCTGAGAGGCGCATCACGGGGTCAATTAGCATTAGTGAGGGTGCAATGGAGGAGCTGGTAACGCATCATTGCCCGTTTGCAGAGAAGCACTAGCATCCATTTCGGCATCCTCTGAGCAAGGTGGTTGCACAAGTGCGGACACTGGCACAAATTAATGGACTTGGCTGCCTGAGCTGGGATCAGATGCGGAGGAAAGGGAATTGAGGTCGGTGATCGAAACGCTGGACCTCTCGACGTTGTGAACCCAGCGTAAGGTGCTGCATGCATGACGGCGCGAGAAAAGTGCGTGCTCGCAAGAGATGGCGTCAGCTGATAGGACAAGCGACCTGGTCTCCTCGTATCATCGACGTGGTGATTGATACGAGAGGTCCTTCGAGTCTTCCTGTTGATCTTGGACGATGCACGCAGATTGAATTGGAAAATGGAAGGGAGAAGCTGAAATGTCCTGGTCACTTTTCAGCTCGAACACGAGCATTGAATGAGGAAGGTCACACGGGGTCGCACCACTTAAGTTAGCCTGTGCATGCGTTACTGTAGTAAACACTCCCCCTGCAGGTGATTGAATTGTTTACTTTCTCGGCCCCCCAGCCATGGCTTCCTCAAAAGTCTCCCTCGTCCTCCATGCATTCTCCATCCTTGATCACGAACACGAGCGGGGATACGAATTGATCCCAAACCATGAACGCATCTGCCTGTGACCACGATGCTGGCTTTCAAGAGTGTGGTTGCCAATCTCATTCGTGGTGGGACGATCTCAAATGCAACTGCGCCGCCACTTGGGACACAGCTACGACGTTTTTGCCTCGATCAAAATCCTACCTATCGAACGCCTGTCACCATTCACGAAAACCTCTACGTGGCACTGATTCATTTCGCGCAAGGTTGAGGCTCGCAAGGTTTCATTGCCCATGCGGGGAGAGAAGGAAATCTCAAGATCAATCGGTAAATGGGCTCTACCATGGTAAGAGAAAGAGATGGCACAAGCGCATATCAACCCATCGGCATCCCGCCTATAACGTCAACGCCAATGGAGGACGTGGCTTTGGACCAGAGAGGATGTAGGTTCGTCGCCTTACACGGCCGTTAAAAATATTGTTGTGATTTCAACCGGGACAAAAGAAGCAGCACATCAGTCTGGACAAACCTGGAGTAGTTAGACTACCAGAGCATTCGCGTTCATGGTGTACGATATATGATGAAGCGACGTGTATTTGAGTATGCCCATACACAGTACATAACACTCGTCTACACGTTGTACCTGTGTATTCTTCCATAGCCACCGACTTCTTGTTTCCAAGTACCTACCTACCAGGTAGGTACTGTACATGCTGTGAAATATCGGCAATTGGCGACTATCTCCGGGCTATGCATATGCGGCACATCTCAAGTGCCATGTACCCCGGACTATCTCCTAAGACCGTCAAGCATTTTCTGACATTGGTATTGACTCCCTCGAGACAGGTAGCTACACGCCCAAATATCGGCCTTGCACTATGGTACCATCGGCCATTAATGCATAACATGGCTCAACAAAGTAGACCCAGCAACTACACGCAAGGCTACTCCGACTGCACCATTGCAACACACCTGTCACGCACGGTCGACACGGATGCCGCTTTCCTTCTGCCGCGCACCAAGAAGACAGACCATATCCTCGATGTCGGCTGTGGACCAGGCCCCATCACCATTGGTCTCGCCGAGTACGCCAGCGAAGGCAGAACAGTAGGCCTTGACATCTCCATGGACGTCTTGAAGAAGGCAAAAGCACTGGCGGTCGAAGCCCGGATGCCCACGGAAGGGACCGGGTAGTTATTTTCAAACATGGTAACGTCCTGGAGAGACTGCCTTTTCCCGACGAGACACCCGACATCGTGTACTGCTCACAGCTGTTCGGTCACATTCCGCCGCCGGAGCTGCCGGAGCGTGCGCTGACTGAGATGAGGAGGGTTTTGAAGACGGGTGGCATCCTAGCTTCGCGCGACGGGATGGACCAGCACTTCTACCCTCGGGGCCTGGACGTCGGCCGGCTGTGGGTGCAAAATCAACAGAGAGCACTTCTCAGGGGAAAATCGCCCGACGCAGACAACATGGGGGCAGGATGCCAGCATTGTACCGTAGCATTGGGCTCGAGGGCGACGGCGGCAAGGTTCAGGTCGGCGCAGGAACCAGGGTGTTCTCGGGGCCGGAAGCTCGCATATGGCTAGCTTGGCGTGGCATCGGTCAGCTACAGCCGGGAGACACCTTTCATCAGAGCTGGCTGGACGCTGGCATCACCGAGGATGAGATTCAGCAAACGGTATCCGCTGTGAAGAGATGGGCCGAGACCGAGGACGCCTGGTACGCCTCGCTTCAATGTGAGATACTGGCGTGGAAGTAGACGCTCAGCCGCGCATGAAGCTTGGTAGCAAAGTCGTCGAGGGTCAGGTCAAAAGCATTGCCTGCCTCGTGATGGGTCGAGATAAAGGTGACAATTCTGGCGTCCATCACGTCATTCCCGGGTCAAAGTCTGATTGTGCGGTCACCCCTGTATCGAGGAAGTCTCCAATTGTGCGAAGCAACTGCGAGTGCTCTGAATCGTGGCGTGGGGCAATCTCGTCGAGGAGCTGTGCATAACTCAGCACCATTTTCCGTGCAGACACAGCACCAAGAGAGTATGTCTCCCCACCAAACGTGAACAGCCCACCTCCGCCAATGAATCTGCAAGACTGATCATCGGACATTGACCACATATCCCCATCAACAGATTGTGATCCAGAAAGACCTAGCTGGCCAACAGCTGCCCAGTCAACATTTTGCAGCAGCTCAATGCTTTCTGCGTGCCATTCGGTTGTTTGTACACAGAGACGGACATAGGTTGTCATGACCAAGGCTGCGCTTGACAGCATCTGTTCGTACAGAAGCGTCTTGTGGTCGGATATGCGGTGGCGAGAAAGTATGTGGAAGATCTGTGATGCATGCAGGACAGCTCTTCGTGCACTGGCTGTTTGAACCCATGCTGCAAGATCAGCAAAGGCTTTTTGTGAAGCCTCAAGCCCCGTCCTGCCACATGCAGTCTGGATGTTGTCCAAGTCTGCCGCAAGCATGAGACAAAGATGGTTCCAGGCGAGGGCAGCAGGTGGATCTTGCTTGATCAAGGCGCACCTTGAAGTCGTCAGGGATGCCAAAGTCTCTGCTATACCGCACGCTGCGTCATTTGCTGCGAAAGCCAATGCCGGAACTGAGGACATATGTTTCAAGGGGGTTGATCCGCTGAACAGCAACCTATGTCTTGCTGCCGCTTCCCGCAGTGCCAGTACATCAAGGAGTACCTTTACACCAGAGAGGTCGAACCCCAAGATCTCGCTCGACCTGACTGCAGACATGTCAACCTGGGCCGCAGTCGAAGACGCACCAGATTCGATCTTCCGGAAGAACGCCGCGGCCGTGGGCGCATCAAATAACGCAGCATCACATGGGAGTACCACCTCGACCCTGTCTAGGCCAATGTTGGCAGCTAGATCTAGCATCCTCGTATACGCTGAATCAATCGAAATCAGACAGACGACAAGCCTCTTTAAAGATTCAACACGAGCCCAAGCTTTCCAGAAACATTCTTGGTCCATGTTTTGGAACATGGCCGCGGTAATTGGTTCTCCCACATGGGCGGAGAACATGCCATGACGATCGGCAATGAAAAGTGTTTGTATGGCAAGCATGTGTGCCTGATGGACATCAACTAGTCGCTCGCAGCTAAGACCCAGGTAGAGTACTAATAGCGAAGACGCAAGGGACGTGACCAGTTGTTGAGCGCCGCCTTTGCCAAGACCTTTATATGTGAGGTCTAACCGGCAGAACCGTAGTAATTTGCCAATGTACAGCCGTATAAAGTCATCAGTGCCGCCAGGGTTGAGTATTGATAGGCCTATGAGGCACATGGGGAGCAGCATGGAGCTCGGTGTGGTTTTGGCGTCAAAGGTCGCTTGATGAACAAAAGGAAGGACTGGGTGAAAGCGCCGGAAGAAGAGGCCAAGACTCATATCCAGGGTCTCAGTTGAAGGAAAAGTCAGCGTTGGTGACTGTGGCGACAGCCCTTCCACTTCCACGTCTTGTTCCTGTGTCACCGAGATATGGGGTGATCCTGGTGCTGTAAAGCCACCAGAGTATTTTTCAGCCGGAAGAAGGACGGTATCACAATCCGACATGAGCCTGGCTCTGCACTCGTCATCCATATTCCACCTCGAGGTCTTGGTAGAATTGTGCATGGTCTCGGCATTAGTACCACTGCTGGAGAAGAGGTTGTACGCAGGGTGTTGAGCAGCACGGCGCCACATGTTCCGGATAGCTAGTACGACTGCAGAGGCGCGTCTTCGGGGCCATGCCTTTTGTACCCGCTTGGAAAGCTCCAATGATCGCGAGTTTGACGTGCACATGGAAGGTAGGGATCTCGCTTGGGTCGGCGACGGCGAGAGAATAATGTCGTTTTCCGTCATTGCTGTTGGCGTGAGCCACACATTCAATGCCTCATAAAGTGTCGGAAAATTGAAGTCATAATCCGCCGGAAGATCGAAGTCGACATCACGAAAGTCGAAACTTGCTGGTTGCTCGGAGGTCATCTGAGTCAAAGACGGAAATTGTGCCGTTGTCATCGTTGACGTCTCAGTTGATTGTGTTGGCAGGGTCTCGTTCGCCATCGTCAGATTAACATCGGGTAGATGTGGGAATACGCGGTCAGGATCATCGCCTTCGCCGTTGCTCGTTTTGTTTGGGGAGGACGTTACGAGATTGCCTCGTGTCATTGAGCGAATTGAGTTGGCTTCGTCCCCTGTATGGTGGTTTCGCAAGTGCCGCGCAAGGACATCGCTTCTTGCATAGGATCTTCCACAAAATGAGCACTTGAATGGCTTTTCTCCCGTATGATGCCGTTGGTGGCGTTTGAGGTGCTCGCTCTTTGTAAAGCAGCGATCACAGAAAGCGCACTTCATATCGCTGGGGCGTCCCTTGCCGACCATCTTGTATTACTGGGCCATCAGAAAGGGCGCCGGGGAGTTGTTGTGCTGTGGCGCTATGCAGAGGAAGGATAAAGGGAGTTTCTCCAGATCTCCATTTCTCTCCCCAGAATCGCCCATATTTCTTTCGCCGAACTTTCCTCTTCCCATGCGGGGATGATGAGGGCTATGGCTAAGTTAGTGAGGCTACACTTCGGCGATCCAATCACAAATCATGTTTATATCATACTCGAATTGGTGTCATGTGCGCATCATTAAGGAGGGAGGAGTCGAACAGTTCCAGCGAAGTAATGCACATCATCTTCACGACGGACCACGAAGCCTAGCATATACTAATGGACTCCTTTTTAGAGACGATAAGTGAACAGCTATCCTCGGACTATGTACAATTGCATGTCTTTTCTCACATCTCCAAAGGCTCCATCTTAACCTTTGTCTCTCCATCAAACTGTCTCAGGAACTCGCGTGCTGTCGCTGCTTCACTAAGAATGATTTCTTTGTGGCGCTCACTTCGCGGTATAAATCGGGCACGGAAGGGTTCAGGTCTCATATTCTCCGATTCTCCGTAAGCAAAAATGTCTACCGGAATTTCTTGTCCCTGAGAACAAGTCAGCAAGTCGTGAAAATTGGTCAAGGTGCAGATACTCACATTAGAATCCAATCCTGGTTTGATATCAAATGCCCAGAGTAGTCTTGCGAAGGTCAAGAAGAGACCTTGCTCGGCGAGGGGTTGGCCACTGCATTGTCTTCTGCCCCAGCCGAATGCGTTGTGGCCTTTTTTGTTTGGAAAGGGACGGTCTCGAGTGATGAAGCGTTCCGGCTTGAATGTATCGGGGTCAGGATACTCGGAAGGATTGCGGTGGATTGCCCATAAATTTCCTGTGATCCAAGTGCCTTTCGGAATGTAGTAGTCACCATAGATATCGTCTTCCGACGGAGCATGCGGGATGCCACCAAGAATTGTGACGGTTCGCCATCGGAGTGATTCGTCCACGCAGGCACGAACGTATTGTAGGTTTGCCTCGTCTTCCCATTCTGGCAGGCGATGGGAGCCCACCACTTCGTCAATGAGCTGCTGGGCCTTTTTCTGCACCTCGGGGAACGCGCACATTGCAAGGATGAACGTTATGGTTGTGCTTGCCGTGGTATCAACGCCGCCACCAATCATGTTGCCTGTCAGGAACGAGATCTCTTCGTCACGAAGCCCGTTGGCCTCTTTCTCCTTGAATAATGCTTTGGCGAAATTGTCTTGACCGGAGACTGATGCTTCTTTTGACAAAGACGTGAAGAAGCGGTTGAACTTCTTGCCGTTCTCGAGCACTATCGATGCCGCGGGATAGAGCCACTTGGGTAATTTGATCAAAGCAGGGATTGTCTCCATGATGAACATGCCCGGCATCACAAGGTCCACCCCTTCCATGAATTTGAGCGCGACCTGGGCCACATCGTCGTTCATTTTGTCGACCCGGCGACCGAAGCCGATGCAAGAAACGATCGAAATGGAGTACCGTTCGATGGCTTTGACAAAGTTGTCTGGGGTGAGGAGCAAGTCTCGTAGTAAGACCCGAATTTCGCTTGATTGAAAGGCGCGATATGATCGCACTGCCTGAGACCCAGTCGCATTGTGGGTGAGGCGGCGGTGGTATCGCCAGCGATCTCCATACGGTAAGCATACCTGGTCGTAAGCCGTAGCATTACGGGAGTCGCCAAGCATGACCATATGTGGACGTGAAGAGTAGATGTTGGCGCGCTTGTCCAGAAGGTCGGAAATCGTCCAAATATCATTGCAGATAATGTTTGCCTTGTGGCCGTGCCAGATAGTAATCATGGGACTTTTATATTGCTCGCTCAAGTCGGTCATATAAAGCCATGGTCGGGGAAGCTTGATCTGATAGTGATTGCCAACCAACGGCCACGGAAAAGGGCCAGGCGGGAGCTTCTGTCGCTGTTTCAATACGCGGAAATAGTCCACCAGGATGTAAGTTATTCCCAATGCTAGCGGAACACCAATGACCATGAACATCATCGTCGCCAATGACAGTCTCGAGACCGGTAAAAGAAAGCCATGGCCTTGTGAAGTATTCTTCGAATTCATGATTAAAGCAAAGAGCTCAAGTGAGAGGACAGAGATATGCGTGGTCCACAACTGTGAGTATGCACAGAGATCCTGGGACGATCTGAGACGACGTCTTCGAATTCGTCTACCCGTATGATCTATCAAGCAGACTTTCTTCGGGCTGGATGATGTAACAAAGCAGACTTTGTACTTGCTGTCCCTCCAAGCATTGATCCCGAGCAGTAAGGGTGAACAACCTGAGACTAAGTGATTCAAACCCACCACGTGGGGCATAGAACCAAATGACCCTACCTTGGAGAATATGTGGGGGAACGGAGAGTTCGCCTGGCCTAACGATTATCAACCCACATTGATCTTGACTCGTGCCGTGTCTCTAGATTCATGTGGGGATGACCGATGTTAGCGGTCACAGCAAGTTGCTCATGCGCATCGAGCGACAGCGGTCTGGGGCCCCAGGACTCCGCAAAGAGCACAAATAGTACTTCATGAGGGATCAGCCCCCTGTGTCAACGAGCTTCACACGACCTCCAAAATGGGTACTCATCTTGAAGCAGCCAAAACACCAATGGATGGGCAAATAAATGCACACCAGCACGTTGAGGACGTTTCATTGGATTTTGTCGATCCTCATCGTGCTGCCCTTGAAAGCAACCCGGAACACTCTGAGATTCCCTCTCTGTCGACACTGCTGGCTGTGGTGGTATGTGTACTGACCGCTTTCCCCTGCTACCGGACCACTGACATGCCCGCAGTCTCTGGCACTCGCCTACATCTGCCCGATTTCGTGCGGCTTTAGCCTCGCAACTGGCATCCTCATTTCCATTGGGACGGCCCTGGGAGATACCACAAATATCACATGGCTAGTCGGAGGATGGTCAATCGCCTCGTCAGTCTCCTTTTCCATGGCGGGCGGCTTGAGTGATGTGTTCGGAAGACGTTGGACCATCATATCTGGCCAAATCTTCTGTATCATCGGTTCGGTATGGTTGACGTCCAAGACCCATTGACTCTGGGCGTGCTCTGACGAATATAAGATTGTTGCTGCCACTGCGAAGAATGTCAGCACGATTATCGTTGCCTCCACCTTTCTGGGGTTCGGTTGTGGCATCATCTTCGTGAGCTACGCTGGTATCTCAGAGTTGCTCCCAAATAAATGGCGGTGAGTCTCGAACTCTTTCTTGATGAGCAATACTAATCACGTGTAGCGCCACCGGGCTTGCGCTGACAGAGTTGGCCATCAATGTTCCCTTCAACATTGCCAATGTCATCATTGCCACCGAACTCAATCTGCACACTGCTCTTGCGTGGAGATGGTGCTACTGGATAGGCTTGATGTTCGCTGTCGTGAGTACGGCGGGGACTTTGTTGTTCTACTTTCCCCCGTCCAGACCACAATTCGATCACGAGAAAACTCGCTGGGAGGAAGTCAAGCAATTGGACGTGATAGGTATTGTCCTTTACACTGCAGGACTGACGACGTTCCTCATTGGATTGACTTGGGCTGGTCAAACGAATCATCCTTGGCGCAGTGTTTCGGTGATTGCCCCCATCGTCATCGGTTTCTGTGTATTGGCAGCATGTTTCGCGTACGACTTCACCCTTGCGAAACGGCCTTTATTCCCTCTGGAGGTCTTCAGGAAGGTGAGAGACTTTACCGTTCTGCTCGGAATCGTCTTTGTTGCTGGCAAGTGCCGTATGTCTGCCACTGGTGATGACGCTGATTGTCTCAGGTATGATATACTTTTCCATGTCAGCGCTGCTCCCGCAAGGATCGCTGTACATCTTCACCAGCGATCCTATTCAGATCGGCCTCATCGCCTTGCCCAATGGGATTGTTCAGGTAAATTCATCCTTCCCACGACCGACAATGCACTAACCCTGAAAAGTTTATATTTGGCGCAGTTGCCACCAGCTTCATGGGTAAGATCAAGCATTTGAAGGTCCAGATCCTGGTCGGACTGGGGATCCAGGCGATTTTCACCGCCTGCCTGGCCGCCATCATTCCACAGAACAAGATAGCCTGGTCTGCCCTTCAAGCTTTTGCGGTAGGACCATTCGCGCTGGTCGTCCTAGCATGTTATGTCATTGCAGGACTGAACGTACCTTTGCGATATCTCGGGTTGGCATCTGGCTTGATTGGTACTTTTCGAAGCATGGGAGGCAGTGTCGGCAATGCCATCTTCAATGCTGTTTTGCAAGGAGTGACAAGTAAGGACCTTGGGCCTGCCATTGCATCAGCTGCAATCGGCCAGGGGTTCAACGCGACCGAGCTAGGCTTGCTCATTCCAGCTACAGTCGAGGCTGTGGTCGGGGTCCCGGATGCATTCGCAGGAGTTCCTGGCGCCACACAAGCCGTTCAGACTGCCGCTATCCTGGCATTCAGGCAGGTCTACGCACGTGCTTTCCGGATGGTCTTCTTCAGCACCATTCCATTTGGTGTCATGGCCATTATACTTGCATGCTTCATCCGAGATCCGTCCATTTATCTCACCAACCACACTGCAATCCACATGGAAAGGGATGGAGTCTTCAACAAGGGCGCCGTGCAGGGTCATCATGATGGGCACATGTTGGGGAAGGCGGAGGCGGATGCAGACAACAAAGTTGTTCATGCAGGGAAGTCATGAAGAGTCGCTAATTATTTAGAGGTTGGCAAGCGGCGGTTCGTAGCTAGAGTGGTAACATGACTGACCATCAGCCTTAGATGCCCTGTGCGGTTAAGTGGTCTGCATATTTCAAAATTTATCACAGGCCTGTGGCACGTTCAAGTGTTGTCCTCTGCTTACCGTCAAATATGCCGTACCCAATGATGTTCTCAATACCTAGCTATTTTTGGCGTGACTGAGAGATACCGTCCATTGTCTGAGTCAAACCAACTAAGATAATACCCATTACAACGCAGTTTGCTTGAGTCTGCTTGAATCATACGCAGAAGAGACTCGCAGCGCTTGGCATGCGAATGTCGATCATTCGCAGCTTCTCCGACATGCAGCCAACAACGGATATCACTTGTCTCAATATGCCATCTCTTTCCGAGGGTGCCGATTAGGCCCAGCACGCTGTACAGCAGTGAAGAGATGTGGACGGATGGGTATGGTTTTGAACAGAGTGAAAGGAAGGCCTCTCGATGGTTAGAGACGAGGGATGTTTAGGCTGAATCGAGGGTGGTCGGTACCGCAATGGCTCGTATGTCTTCGTTGTCGAACGGGAGAAGGTAAAGGGCTTGCAGGGTGATGGACGACAACAGAAAGCAAGTACTACCTAGGTAGTTATGAGTCATTCGTTCCGTGGTGGGATTATCCTCGGAGGCGTAGAAGTCACCAGGTATTACATGAATACAAATCAAGGTAGTTTTGGAGTCGACATGTTGGCAGGTAAATATATATTGGCTCTAACCCCAAACGTGCCATCCGTGCCACAGGTGCTGACCTGTCAAAATGCCATGTTGGACCATGAAAAGATGAGACACCTGCCTATAAGGGCAAGTTTGCTTGCCTGATCGAGGCAGAGCTAAGAGGTATTGAAGTTGCCTCCAAGGTTCTCGGTCCCAGCCCACATGGCACGACCGAGAGGCGAGCCAATATGCGCATATCTTGTAAGGCCCTTTTCAGGTGTTTATTGGTCGAGATACTGATTGATACGTTTCGAGAAGATTTGGCTCCAGGTTGTGATCATCTAACATATTACCCAGTTGCTGCAACGAGGCAGGTGGTTGAATATATATTCATCACACGGCGGTCAAGCAAATCTTCCCTTAGCCGCGACTTTTGGAACTAACAATCGGATCAGCGATATATCTGATTTAAGCGCTCCTTTGCTAGCCTTGGACATCCTGTTGTGGTTTCTTGGTACCTTGTACCCTCCTCAGGAACTCGTTATCTTCCAGTCTATGCTCAGTCTCTAGCTCTTTGTTCAAGTCAAACCGTCCAATCAGCATACTCATCAAGGCAGCCATTCCGGATATGCCGGTGAAGAACCCGTACACACCGCGAAAGCCGTACGTACAAGCATGTAAAATGTTGTGTCTTGAACTCCGAAGGCGCCATCGTCCTCAACACGGTAACATAGGACTCGCTCATTTCTGCAATATCAGCCGGCAAAGACAGCTCATTCAGCTTGATCAGCATCACATTTTGGAAGACCGTGCTTCCGATGCTGACCCCGATGGCCATGCCGAAGCTACGTAGAAAAGCGTACATAGCAGCGGCAGCGGCTTCATCACCAGGAAGGCAGATGGCTTGTGTGGCAAAATTCTGTGCGTTCAGAACAAAGCCATGGCCAACACCGACAACAATGCCAATGACCACCCAAGCTGCTGTTGGTGTACGAAGGTCCCAGAGAAGAGTCAGGCCAATGCCTATGGTCGCGATAAGCCAGCCGATCCAGAGGGCCCACCGGAAACGGTTCAGGCGGGTGTTCAGTGAACCGATGATCAGCGAGGAAGGAATGAAAGCAAAGGTCAACGGGAAAAGCGCGATGCCTGTTCGAATCGGCGAGAAAGCGCGGACAGAGGAGAAGTAAAACGGAATATAGTAGAGTTGGCCATAGAGCTGACATGCCAGACAAGATCAGCTTCACCGTGGTGCATGGAGAGATTCTACTTACCAACAGCCCCTGCGCGAATGCCCCAGCGAAGGCTGCATAGGAACTGCGACAATGGAACAAACTCTTCCGCAGGAATGGTTCTTTGGCGCAAAGACCTTCCCATACCATGGTAGCCCCCAGACCAACAGCTCCAAGGATCAGTGGAACCAGTTTCCGAAAGCTGCCCCATGGCTCTTGGGTTCCACCCCAGGACAAGGCGACCAAGAATGATGTACTCGAGCCGATGAAAAGCACGCCTCCGGTAATGTCGATCCGGAGAAGCTTTTCTTTCAACGATGATGTTCTGGGCTTGAGAGTCAAAAGCCATGGGATGCTAACAAAGCCAATGAAACAAAACGGAAACATCAGGTAGAAGATCCATCTCCAGGTTGAATGCTCCACAAACGCGCCACCGAGGAGTGGTCCGAGACATGTTCCGATAGCCCATGCTGCTTGTCTGGACAGAGTCAGTGTTTGTCCTTCCATACTATATTGCAATACAAAGGACCGGGAACCATACATGATCCCATAGTACTTGGCTCGATATCTCAACGGCACGATGTCTGTGCAGATGTCCAGAGCAAGAATAATGATTCCTCCTCCACCAACGCCCTGGAAACAGCGGCCCACGAGAAGGGCGAGAAGGTTCTTGGCGACGCAGCAGACGATCGAACCCAGATCAAATGAGCTCAATGATACAAGCAGGCAGATCGGACGGCCGAAGATATCACTGAGGGCCGCAGTGTACGGCATCGTCACAGCGTAGGATAGGAGGTATGATGTGCCAACCCAGAAAGCCTGGGTAGTCCTGCCGCCTAGCGCGGTGATCATCGTCTGCAACATTATTAGGAACGGGTCCATGCTGAGGAAGGGCTTCGTACACTCAAGGACGTGACCAAGATGGTAGCGTCCAAGGAGACCATGAGAGAAATGGCCGCAAGTGATACCAGGAACAACAATTCGTGCAATGTTGGTTTCCATTCTGGCCTATTGGCGGATTCTGGGACTTGGACTGCGTCAGGCTGTTGGGATTTCTCCATGATAGCGACATCCTGCGCGTCCATGTTCAATGGAGTCCTTTGAACTGCTGCTGCACTGAGATGGGAAGTTGGGAATTGTCGCTTTCTAGCAGGACAGAGGACTTCCAGCAATTATTCGTTCTCATTTTCCTCTCCGCTGAAGGTGCCCCTCCGCTCTGAGCATCGACCCGCGCGGCATATTTGACCAGCCTCATGGAGGCTTGATCGGAGTGCCCGGACCCTGCAGCATATGCCGTCCAGGAAGGCTTCAACAGGTCGTTGCAAGGGTAGCTGGAAGAATGACACATGATCGCTTAACCGGTCTGGCCCTTACTGTTATCGACCCAATCACAAGGATGCCTGAAACAGAGAAGGAAAACCGTTGAGCCTCGTAGGGCTCATGTGGATGAAGACTTGCATATTTTAGATGGTATTTTGAATTTGGCCCCCGTGTCAGTGAAGCGAAAGAACTAGATCGACTTCGGCAGAGTCGGCGAGACTGTTTCCAGAAAAAGTGACACCGTCTGACAGGGAGCATATCGAAGTCACAAGTTCGAAGTCAAGCTGCTTCACAACGGCGGAAGCCTCGATAGCAAGACAGAATCCTGGTCGTCTGGAACTTCAGCTTTCTCAGGCCACCTGCTACCGGCCACCGAGATGTCGATGTTGATACGCCGAGAAGCGAAGGTCCATCATGCAGAACCTGCGCCCACTTACTATGATATGCAGTCCAGCTCATTGTTAGCTTCACTGCCTGCATGAATAGATCGCCTGGTGGAGCTGAGCATGTCTCTCATGTCTTCTCAGATGGTTCGGCACGTGTTGAACCCTCGTTCGAAACCCTCGCCGGCAGTCCTTGTTGACTGCCAAAGTACAATCCTCCATGATGATCCTGATAAGTGGCCGCAGGCGGAAGCCTCAGACCTTTCTCGACTGGACTGATAAGACACACCATAGGCCTCGTTGCTCTCAACCATAAAGACATGCTCACATTGTCCGGAGTACTCCTCAACCCCTTCGTCTGTGCTGGCGAGGAAACCCTGCTACGGTGTAACAACCATGGCTCCCTACTTGAACGATCAAATGCCTATCTCCACGACGGGATCTCTGAACGCCGCAGCTCGAATGTCCCACGCCACTCGCAATGGCCACACGGGTAATGGTGAAGGAGGCCTTCCTAGGCAGAATCCCCAAGCCCAGGCAGTCCCGATCGCAATATGCGGTATGGCTCTCAGACTTCCGGGCAGCATCATGACCCCTTTTCAATTCTGGGACTTCCTGCTTGCAAAAAAAGATGCCAGATCTCTCGTGCCAGACACTCGGTACAACATTTCAGCTTACCACACCGGTCTCGGGAAACCCGGCGAAGTCAAAAGTGAGTATGGTTACTTCCTCGACGATTCGGTCGATATTGGCGCCCTGGACACAACCTTCTTCAACATGGCCAAAACCGAAATGGATCCGCTGGACCCGCAGCAGCGTCAACTGCTTGAAGTGGTTCGGGAATGCTTTGAAAGTGCTGGCGAACTAAATTATCAAGGCAAGAACATCGGCTGTTTCGTGGGCACGTTCGGCGAAGACTGGGCGGAGTCTTTTGCCAAAGACCAACAAACCTATGGCCTGTACAGAATCTCTCGCTCCTTTTCCAGTCCAATCGTATCTCATTCGACTTTGACCTTCGAGGTCCCAGCATGACCATTCGCACTGGATGCTCTTCGTCTCTCATTGGACTGCACGAGGCGTGTGGTGCCATTGCTAGAGGTGACTGCACTTCAGCTATTGTGGGCGGTGCCAACATGATCCTTGGCCCTAGCTTGACGCAAGCTATGACAGAACAAGGCGTGCTCTCCCCTGATGGATCCTGCAAAAGTTTTGATGCAGAAGCGAATGGGTATGCCCGTGCAGAAGCAATCAACGCTGTTTATGTGAAACCTCTTGAGGATGCCCTACGCGACGGAAACCCCATCAGAGCTGTCATCAGAGGCACATCGTCCAATTCCGACGGCAAGACGATAGGTATCTCCCAGCCTAGTGCTGCGAGCCACGAAGACATGATGAGAAAGGCATATAGCTTGGCAGGTATCGAAACTCTCTCCGACACGGCGTATATCGAATGCCATGGCACAGGCACAGCCATTGGCGATCCGATCGAGACAAGTGCTGTGGCAAATGTCTTTGGCGAACAGGGTGTGTACATTGGCTCCGTGAAACCCAACGTTGGCCATTCGGAAGGAGCGTCAGGCCTTACGTCGTTGATCAAGGCCGTCTTGAGTCTGGAAAATCGTACTATTCCACCAAACATCAAATTCAACAAGCCGAATCCACGCATCGCATTTGGGGCAAGGAAACTCAGGGTTCCTGTCGATCCTGTTCCTTGGCCGGAAGATCGCTGTGAACGGGCTGGTGTCAACTCTTTCGGCATTGGAGGCGCCAATGCGCATGTGGTGCTCGAGTCGAAGGATTTCTACCTAGGTTCAGCGCCCCTAGTATCCAAGGCAGCTCCTCAGCCCAGGATCTTGGTCTACCTTGCCAACACGCCCGATTCTTTGCGCAGGCAGGTGGTAAACCATCAACAATACCTCAAGGAACGTCCTGAATGCTTACACGATCTGTCGTACACACTCGGAGCACGTCGGGAACACCTCGTGCATCGCGCATATTCGGTTGCAGGTGTCTCCGCTGAACCAAAGTGCTCTCCGTTCACTAAGGCGCCTAGCTCGGCTCCAAAGCTCGTCATGGTCTTCACAGGGCAGGGAGCCCAGTGGCCTCAGATGGGTCGTGAACTCTTCCAGTCAAATGCCGCTTTCGCACATTCCATCAGCACAACGGAGAAGTACCTGAGCACATTACCAGACGCACCCAGCTGGCAGATCTCGGACGAGCTCTGCAAGTCGTCCAAGGAGAGCAACCTTCACAAAGCCTCCTACTCACAGCCGCTTTGTACAGCAGTCCAGGTAGCATTGGTCGACGCTCTTACCGTCCTGGGAGTCGTTCCTGCCGCTGTGGTTGGCCATTCTTCTGGGGAAATGGCTGCTGCATATGCAGCAGGTCGCCTCACAGCAAGGGAAGCAATCATTGCGGCCTACTATCGCGGCGTCGTCTCTGGTCAAGTGACCCGCGATGGTGGCATGGCGGCTATCGGACTAGGCTGGGACGAGACGTCCGAGCACCTTGTCGATGGTGTCGTGATTGCGTGTGAAAACTCGCCGTCTAGTGTCACAATCTCAGGAGATGCTGATCGAGTCAAAGAGGTTCTCTCAAGCATTCAGAAGGCACATCCCAATGCCCTCGCGCGTCCCTTGAAAGTCGACAAAGCATACCATTCTCACCACATGAAGGAGGTGGGGTCGACATATCGTCAATTGGCGAAAGGTCATGCTCTGGGAACCTCAACTGGCACCAAGGTTGACTTCTTCTCCAGCGTGACTGGTCAGCTGCTCGACGATGCCCAGTTGCTTGACGCCGCCTATTGGCAAGCAAATCTCGAGTCACCGGTCCTCTTCCGCACTGCGATAGCCAATCTCGTTGCGCACGCCAGGCTCGAAAGCAAGGACAATCTCATGATCTTGGAGGTCGGGCCACACTCTGCGCTAGCTGGACCTCTCCGACAGATCCTTGCACGAGAGTCTGCCGGAAGCTCATATGCGTCATGTATGACACGCGGACAAGACTGCACAACATCCTTTTTGTCCGCCATGGGAGAGCTATATCTGCAGAACATAACCTTGGACTTTGAAGCTCTCACCAACCCAGACGCTACTGCTCAGGTCCTGACTGATACTCCACCATATCCATGGCAACATGACCGCTCACTACTATTCGAAACACGTCTGTCTAAAGAGTGGCGGTTCCCCAAATTTCCCAAGCATGAACTACTCGGTGTTCGCGTCGCAGAGAGCACCTCCACCGAGCCAGCATGGCGCAATGTCCTGATTCTCGACCATGTCCCCTGGATCCGAGATCACAACATCAAAGGCGACGTCGTCTACCCCTGCGCTGCGTATGTTGCCATGGCTGGAGAGGCCGTCAGGCAGCTCAACGAAGAACAGTTTGGCGGATACAGCTTGCGCAATGTTATCGTCAGTACTGCTATGGTGCATAATGACACAAAATCGATGGAAATAATGACGAGCCTCAAAAGACACAGGCTGACCGACACTCTTGACAGCGCCTGGTGGGAATTTACTATCAGCTCTTATAATGGAAGTGCTTGGATCAAACACTGCAGCGGGGAAGTCTGCTCCCAGAATGGTGAAGGTTCCGGCTCATCATTCGAGCGGCCACGCCGTATGTCTCGTAAAGTCTCCCCTGCAAAATGGTACGAGTCGTCTCGCCACGTCGGTGCCAACTATGGACCGCTGTTTCAGGGCTTGAAAGAGATCTCGACATCTACCACGGATAACTTGGCAAGCTCACGGGCAGTTGTCACGACCACTGGCAGGACCGATGTCTATTCAGTTCATCCCACTCAAATCGACGCCTTCTTGCAGCTTCTTGGTATCGCTGCTGCCAAAGGTGTGAACCGGTCTTTCAAACACCTGGCTCTTCCTACTTATGCAGAGCAGATTGATGTTTGCAGCACGCCAGCCGACTTTGACATCACAACGTCGGCCAAGTACAACCTCAACGGATCAATTTTGGGCGATGGTTACGGCCTTGGGACGAATGGTAGCCTTGCTCTGAGGATGAAAGGCGTCAAGCTGAGTCCCCTGGAGGGTGAAGAATCATTGGGTAACAATGACCGACATGCTGCAGGCAGGCTCAACTGGAAACCAGATATCGACTTTCTCGATTGCGCTGACCTTATCCAGCCATACAGCGGACGGGCGGAAGAGATGCTCCCCTTCTTTGAACTGACGGCTCTTTGCATCGAGGAAACACTCGATAGAGTTTCGCAAGTACCATCTCGTCTTCCGCATTTGGAGAAATTCCGTTCCTGGATGAAGGCGCACCCTAAGAGCACAGGCGGGCCCTCCGATCGGGTGGCTAAGATCCAAGCACTTGTTGCCGAAGTATCTGAAACTGCAGCCGCTCCTGTGGCGGAAGCGATACTGAAGGTCATGGAGAATGCACAAGCCGTGTTCAACGGGACGACTGAGCCACTTGAATTTCTTATGGCTGATCAGACATTGACCCAGCTATACAACTACATGGACGGTGGATGTGACCGCTCCGCTTTCATGCAAGCCTCAGGACACAGCAACCCGAAACTTCGGATCCTTGAAATCGGCGCTGGAACCGGTGGTACTATCGCCACTATCCTCTCTAATCTTCAGAGCCGAGATGGAGGTCATCTGATGTACTCAAACTATACCTATACCGATATCTCGGCTGGATTCTTTTTGGCTGCAAAGGATCGGTTTAAGAGCTGGCCTAACATTGAATTCGCCACGCTTGACATCTCCCAGGACCCAGAGGCCCAGGGTCTCAAAACTGCATCATATGACCTGGTCCTGGCGACAAATGTGCTTCATGCTACTCCAAATTTGCATGAAACCTTGGCCAACGTGCGGAAGCTGATCCGTCCTGACGGACGGCTGCTGTTGCAAGAATTGTCCGCAGCCTGCAAGTGCTGGAACTTCGTGATGGGCGTGCTCCCTGGCTGGTGGCTTGGTGCAGGCGATGGCAGGGCGGATGAACCATGTGTCTCTCCACAGCGTTGGGAGGATGAGCTTAGAGAAGCAGGGTTCGACGGGCTGGACGCGGTGGTCTTTGATGCAAGAGAGCCACTGCAGATCAATGCGCTGATGATGGCGAAACCCATCGAAGCCGCTCCAATCTCACCAAGAGACATTACAGTATTGTGCGACCACAGCAGCCAAAGCCTGGCGCAAAATCTGAAGTCAGAACTTGTTTCGGCCGGACGTCATGTGGTTGTTTGCGGTCTGGAAGATACAATACCCGACGATCGGGATATTGTTGCGCTGCTTGACCTTGAACAACCCTTCTTTGCTAATATAAGAGAGGCCAAGTTCGACCAATTCAGAGCTTTTGTCTCACATCTGAGGGTCAAGGAGTGCTCTGGGCCACTCGAACGTCACAGATGATGTGCAAAGATCCTCGGTTCGCTCAAAGTCTCGGAGCAGCACGGGTTATTCGCAACGAATTCTCTCTTGATTTTGCAACTTGCGAGATCGACCATCCAGATGACTCTTTGGCACCCTTCATGGCGGTCCTTTCTAAATTTCAAAGCCGCCGTGAGGATGAGAGCTTTCAGCCGGAGCAGGAATATGCCATTGTGAATGGAGAAGTTTATGTCCCTCGGTTCTACCCCTTTCTTCTGAAGGAAGATCCTCTTGCTCTGGGGACCTCAGAAGTTGCAGCTGGCCCTGTGGAGCTCGCTGTCGGAAAGTATGGGCGTCTGAGTACTATGAAATTGGTTTCCAGGCCGATTCGGCCCTTGGACGATAGTGAGGTCGAGATTGAAACCCAGAACGTCGGAATGAATTTCAAGGCATGTTAGTCCACCCTGCCATGGTATTTGTCTAACCTGCATAGGACGTCCTCATTGCCATGGGTATAGTGCCATCATCTGTGGCTGGCTTCGGCATCGAGGCTGCTGGTATTGTACGCGGAGTTGGAAGCAAAGTTGAGCACGTACGCGAGGGCGACAGGGTTTTCACCATGGGTGGCGCGTGCTTCTCATCGTCACTCCTCGTGTCTGCTACGCTATGTGTCAAGATACCGGACTCTCTGAGCTTCGAAGACGCGGCTACTATGCCATGTGTCTATGCAACAGTGATACACTCACTTCTCGACGTTTCAAGGGTTGAGAAGGGACAGGTATGTCTATCTCCAGCCTGTCTTTCTGCTGCTAACACGGTGTGCAGTCAGTCCTCATCCATTCGGCCTGCGGAGGCGTCGGTCTTGCTGCCATTCAAATATGCAAAATGATTGGTGCTGAAATATATGCAACGGTTGGCAGTGACAACAAGGTCGAGTTTCTCATCGACAACTATGAAATACCCCGCGACCACATATTCCATTCCAAGGACACATCCTTCCGCGACGACGTGCTGAGGATGACAGAAGGCGCTGGGGTTGATGTCGTCCTGAACTCCTTGTCTGGCGAACTTCTGCATACTTCCTGGGATTGTGTTGCCGAATTTGGCACGCTGCTGGAGATCGGGAAAAGGGACTTCATCGGCAACGGACGGCTTGCAATGAATCCATTTGAGCTCAACAGGAACTACTGCGGCATCGATCTTGGTCATCTGCTGGAACGCAAGCCAGCATCAGTTTTCAGGTTAGTCCGCATCAACGACCCAAGTCCCTTTACAATTCTAGCTGACATCCTCTGCAGATTGCTGAACAAGATTGTCAAATATTACGAGCAAGGCTACATTCAACCAATCAAGCCGATCAAGACTTTCCAAGCGAGTGCTGTTGAAGAATGCTTTCGATACATGCAGAAAGGCCAGCACATCGGGAAGATTGTTGTCTCCATGACCGCCACCAGCAAACAAGAGCAGTTGCTGCCAAGTGAGTCGCAAACAGACGTCACTTTCGACAGCGACGCTTCCTACCTGCTTGTCGGAGGCTTGGGCGGTCTCGGTAAAGCAGTCTCAACATGGATGGTGGAGAGAGGAGCCCGCCATTTGATCTACCTCTCTCGAAGCGCTGGAAAGAGCGCGGAGGACCAAGACTTCATCCACGAATTGCAGGAGCAGGACTGTGTGGCAACGGCCGTCCAAGGAAATGCTGCGAACGAAGACGACGTTGCGAAGGCTGTGCAATCGGCAACAAAATTGAAAGGTATTCTGCAAATGTCAATGGTGCTCCGAGATCGCCAGTTGTCGAGAATGACTTTTAGAGAATGGAATGCCGTGGTGATGCCAAAAGTGCAAGGGACCTGGAATTTGCACAATCTCACAATTGGCAAGAAGCTGGATTTCTTCGTCATGTTCAGTTCCATCTCCGGCATCATGGGGCAACATGGTCAGTCCAACTACGCTTCCGCGAATACATTTCTCGACGCCTTCGTCCAATATCGTCACAGCAAAGACATGGCTGCATCGTCCATGGACATTGGAGTCATGGAAGACGCTGGCTATGTCGCAGAAAATCCAGCCATGCTTGAGGGCATGCGTGCGGCCGGCTTCCATACGATCCGCGAATCCGAGCTGTTGGATGCTCTGATAATGGCAATATCAGCGGGCCGATCATGTGCAACCGAAATGAGCGATAAGAGTTACACCAACAACGGTCAATTCGTCCTGGGCTTGCGCTCATCTAAACCGTTATCCGATTCGGCGAATCGTGTCCTTTGGCGGAGAGATCGCCGGGCCGCCGTCTATCATAACGAGAGCAGTGTCGAAGGGGCAATGGCTGCATCTACGACTTCCAATAAATTGAGGGAATTCTTGGCTTTGTGCACGGTGAATCCGGAGATACTACATGACAAGACAAACGTTACTTTCCTCGCGCAACAGATCGGACTGCGGCTCTATGATATGGTAATGAAGCCGGTGGAAGACGAAACAACAATTGACATATCTCTGTCGGTACAAGACCTCGGACTTGACAGTCTCGTGGCCATTGAAATGAAGACATGGTGGAAGCACACATTTGGATTCGATATAAGTGTGCTGGAGATGCTCGGCATGGGAAGTGTACTTGCACTGGGTGAGCATGCGGCACAAGGTTTGTTGGACAAGATGAGAAAGCGGATGACGGAAGGAAGGATTTTGTCATGTCGACGAAGAGGCCTTGATTCATTGAGGCGGAAATGGCGTTCGGCGGTTGAGTATAGATATGCAGGATACAGACCATAGATTGTACTGCTTTGTGAGGTGTAGCCTGACTTGAAGCTTCCGCATACCACGTGTGAACGACATTAAGTCTGTATCAATCCTGCTTAGCTGTCATACCTTGCAAGGGTAACAAAATATGTGGTGTGTTCCAGACAGATAAGAAACCGGCCACGGGATAGCATGGCTCGTATTCAGGTTCAGCAACCGGCCAGCAGAAGAGAGAGAGAGAGAGAGAGAGAGAGAGAGAGAGAGAGAGAGAGAGAGAGAGAGAAAGAGAGAAAAGGCAAAGGACCGAGGACGGAATACAAGGGTACTTCTGTTCTGATGGCTAAGTTAGGTATGGTTGCTATTTGTACTTGTAACACCTCTAGGTATATTCTCATAAGCCACAACAAGGATGTGGCCGAGCGTGGCGTGCCGTCCATGAGCAAACCCCGGATCTTCCTTAGCACCCACGCACCTTAGTAAGAGTCCGGAGTAGTTATACTTTTCTGGGCTTCTGGGCGTCCGGAGCCCAGAGTGTTCGGCTGCCAATGCGCCAATCCTGTCACTCACAGGAACAAAGGCCGTTGTGTCTAGAAACCGGAGATTCCATCACCCATGCAACGAGGTTCGCAGCGCAAAATTTGCCCTGCTGAGCGACTCCAAAGCTCCAAGTCTCCTCCCTTTTCATGCATGAGCGATGCCAAGCTAGTCATGCACGGCCGGCTCATGGCGACTGCCACCACAGCTGAGATCGAGACGGTGAAGACACACCTCAGCCGGACCATGCGGCTACCATCAGCCGGACCTGGCGACAGCCAACAGTCTGAGAGCTGAACTCGCTTCGGCCACAAGCATATCACGACGGACATCCCATTGAGCTCGTAGCGAGCACCATGCCCGACCTTCCCATGTCCTTCGCCTTACGCGAGAATCCTTCATTGCATAAGCTACATCAGAATGGCCCGATTCTCGAGGCTCGCCGCGCATCTGCGGAGCAAGTCCTCCACCACCAGTTTTACCACCCTCTCCGAAGCCTCGCTATATCACGAAGATGAGAAAGAAGCCCCAATTGTGGAATGTACCGAGATCATCTTAGAATGTGAAGAAGAGGAAGAGCTGGTGACAGAAAAAACTCTACCCGAGACTCCACATTATCACGCACGACTGTCCGGTCAGAGATTCTCATTCAAGTCGTCGCCTGAGATGGGCGTTCAGGTGCGTTCAACGAATGGTTTGTATGTCGAAAGGTCACGGAATTGACACTCCTCTTAGCTCGTCGTACCCGACAGCGATCAATGGCGGAAACCAAGTGCAATGGGCGTGGCCCAGCTGGAGTCCAGCTTGTGCTTCAAGTCGTTCCTGGCGTATCGGACACTGGCCGAACCAGGGCCTTTCGAACAGCGGGTAGCATTCCGACAACGCTGCCTGAGCGAGTTCGAAACCATTCGGGCGGGCTTTCCAGGCATCATCAGGGAGGACATCCGTCTATGCATGGCCGCCTGGGTAGCACTAGATGGTGCTCTTCGTGACATGTTGGGCAAATTGTCCCCCAAAGAGACAGAGGAAACCGTCCAAGTGGTGGCCAACATGTTGCACGACTTCGCCGAACAGACTTCTCCCGGTGAGGCCCGGCGGCGGCGGTCCTTGCCTGGATTTGCCCGCATACGCCAACACACCACACAGTTCCGCCTGCTCGTGTCGCAGTTCCTCGGCTCTGCCGAGATCAAAGGCTTGAACATATGTATTGGCGATATGCTGCGAAGCATATGTGAGGAGGCAAACTCGTCTGCGTCTTCGATCGTCACCTTGCAAGGGGCTGAGGAACATCTTGAACTGCGCGGCAAGACTCTCAGCATGCTACCCCTTCTTCACCTCGCTGCACAAGATGGCGTGACTACGATATGGGAACTTTCCCCCAACCTGCAGATTTTGCGAGACCTTGTCAGTCTGGCTGTTGTTTTGCAGGAGGACCTTATCAATCTCGAAGAAGACCTCGCTGCTTCCAGGACGACCAACTACGTGCTCATGGTCGCCGGAGAGTATGCAAAATCTCTTGGACTACTGCCCATGTCCCTACAGATTCCTTGCTTGCACAATGCCATACAAGCTACGATCGAGAGACACAGTGAACTTGTCCGGGCTGCGTTACAACGACACAAAGCAATTATAGCCCCCGTCGAATGTTGTGAGGAGTGGGAGGTTGCAGACGTTGTCATTGCGTACCTTGCCAGGCACTTCAGCTGGGCTGCTTCTGCCAAAGGCTATCGGCCTTGTGATACTATTTATGGAGATGATGAGTTCAGCTTGTCCGAACAAGGCTTTTCGGACATCCTGCAGGATATAATGAGTGATATGGGTGGATCGGACTCGAATTCCCTTGCGAGTGTGCCCTCACTTGCAAGTGGGCGCTCGCTGGCCAGTGCGAGTTCGTACTATTCTTTCGAATGATGTACTCAATATTAATGGTATAGTTTCATGATATGGCACAAGACATGCTTGCTTGTTTGCACCGAACACGAACAATGGTCTGCATATGGACGCACCGCTTTCCGCACCAACAGATAATTGTTGAGCTTGAACACTGCATTCTCTTATCCTTGTCAAGGTCAGAAACCTGATATGCCGTGCATGTCCCGACGGCGACGGTGCCGACGGTCAGTTGCCGGCAACGTGGAAAGTGATCGACCTCGTACATGCTGCGGAGGCACATTGGGCATCTGGTGATCCAGTGCGTCATCACCAACGTCAATCATGTTCCCCATGGGGAAGGTCTCTGACTATGCCCTTGCAATGCTTCGCTGAAAGCTTGATTCATAAGTGCGACGAGAGTCCATCTCCTTCTTGTACATTCAGGTCCTTTACCTTGCGTCTTTCCTGTGTCTTTATCGGAAGTGTTCGCTCGAAGCTGCCAACATGCCTGCTCAAACAGGTACACAAAAACTCACTGGCGGGTGGTTGATTGCTGCAATCACCTCAGTATGCTCCGCAGGCTTCCTTCTCTTCGGGTATGATCAAGGTGTCATGTCAGGAGTCGTCATCTCCAAATATTGGCTCGATCAGATGGACAACCCGAGTTCGCTGATGGTCGGAACCATGACAGCATTATACGATGTTGGCGCCGTCTTTGGCGCCATCGGTGCTGCTTTCACTGGGGAGCAACTCGGACGGAAGAGGACCTTGCTGCTTGGGACGAGTGTGCTCATCGTCGGGACAATCCTCATGGCAAGCAGCTATGAGCGCGTCCAGTTCATGATTTCCCGCATCTGCACAGGTATTGGCATCGGCTACATCACCTCTGTTACGCCTGTGTATCAGGCTGAGATCAGTGCTGCCGCTCAACGTGGCTGGCAGGTGTGCTGTCAATTGACTACCATGCTTGGGGGATTGATGCTTGCCTACTGGCTCAATTATGGGTTTTACTTCGTTCACAGCAGTGCCCAGTGGCGGTTCCCTTTGGCTTTCCAGCTCGTGTTCGCCATCTATATCCTGGTGGTTGCTCCATGGCTGCCAGACACACCTCGTTGGCTGATGCGTCATCGAACCGAGTCGGAAGGTCTTGCGGTCCTGGCCAAACTTCGCGGTCGTGATGAGAACGACCAACTTGTGCAAGCTGAAAAGGACGATATCATGGAGGCCATTACCATTGAAGCGAAGGAAGAAGGCTCATGGGCTGATCTATTCCGCAGCAATGGCATTTCGGCCAACAAGCGATTCTACCTGGCGCTCGGAATTCAGTTCATGCAGCAAATGTCTGGCATCAATATTGTGAGTTTTCCAGTCTCCTCGTTCTAGGGTTTACTTACTGATATTCCAGGTCACTTACTACGCACCAACCCTGTTCTCCACCTCCTTGAACATGACTCAGGAGAAGTCAATCCTCATGGGTTGTTTCTTGCAACTTTGGTACATTATCGCCTCTTTCTTGACTTGGTACACCATCGATCGTGTGGGACGACGTCTTTTGTTCATATCAATGGCCCTTGGCATGTGCCTTGTTCTTGTCGCCGAGGCCATTTGCGTCAACAGGATCGAGGCCGCCGACTACCACAACACCTCGGCTGGAGTTGCCGCCGTCTTCTTCGTTTTCGCGTTCGAGGTAAGTGATTCCTTGAAAAGTTGCTTCGGTGCTCTCTGAACCTTAACCTTTTCCCCATGTTTTGCGGAACAGGTTTTCGAGAGTAACAACCTAACAATCCCCTGCAGGCATGCTTTACTTGGGGATGGATGGGAACTGTTTGGACATACCCCCCGGAAATTCTCCCCCTGAAGATTCGCGCAAAAGGCGCCGCTTTGGCTGCTGGAGCTGATTTTCTCGGGAATTTTCTCGTGGTTGAGGTCACCCCTGACGGTGTCAAGAACCTTGGATGGAAGTTCTACATTGTCTGGGCAGTTTTGAACCTGGTCAACGCCATCATCGTCTGGATGTTCTATCCCGAGACTGGCGGTCAGCCGCTGGAAGCCGTCGATGTGCTCTTCGTTGAAGATCACCAGAGGAGAAACTCAAGTCTATACATTGCGGACGACGTTGAGGACGAAAAACCAAACGTCCTGCAGAAACTGCAATGGAGCATTGTGCGGAAGGCTGACAGACAGGTCAAAGCATACAAGCGAACCGGGGGTCGAAGGACAACTCGGCCCATTGGCGACGAAGCGGTGGACGGCAGAAAGGCGCAGACGAGCGGAGTAGAACATCTGGCCAAATAGCTGCTCCCTGTTGCAAGAACAGGCCAATCTAAAGAAGGAGGATGCCTCCGTCGATGTGTCGCCGTGATGTAAACGTGTCGCCGAGAACTTGGAGAGTCTCTTATACTTCTCCGCTCTGATCGGGAATGTGTCCCGTAGTGCCAAACCGAGAAAGGGGCTTCATTAGCCCATCTAGAATAGCATGGATCAATATATGGACAACAGAAAAATCCGCGTCTTTCTTGTTGCAGCAACGGTAGCCACGGATACCAACGTCAGCAGTGATTGGCAGGGGTTCTCTTCATCGAATTGGAGTTGATGTCATGTCAATATATTTGGCTTGACTCCGCGTTTGAGATTATTTCTCCGTTGCCACCAGCCTCGGGCTGCTCAAAGCAGTGAACGCAAACCTCGGATCCTTCCCCGACTCTGTTCCCTCCGCATCAGCCAGACCGTCAGGCACGTTGCCCATGCGGTCAGAAGCTTCACCATACACTGTGGGAGTTGACATTGCCTGCGCCATGACTGGCTGGAAGGATGACGTTGCCGGCCGCAGAATGCGGCAGTATGTACACATTGCTGATATTCGACGTCACGCTTGTTCCGGCCTTTTCAATATAAGAGCCTACATCGAGTCCAACATCATAGACTCACTTACCCCGGGCAATCAGTCTGAACCTCAACAAAATGCAAGCCAGAACTCTTCATTCGTTCCGGGCCCGGTGCCTACCACATGATACCATTCGCCTTGTAGGCTGCTCGCGAGCTCAAGTGATCGCGTCGTTCCGGCTGCAACAGCAACAGCACCAGCACCGCTTACCTTACTCAACTAGCCATGAGCAAACTCCCATCAGCAGCGACACAATCAGCGGCATCCATGGAGGTGCAGTCAGTGGGGCCATCAAGCATGACCACGCTGAATTGAAAGAGTACTACCACAAAATTATGCAGTCAGTCGACAAGGACACTCAGACCAGATACCAGAACCAATTCACCTGGGAACTCGCCCGTCATTCGATTGGGGAAGAACTTGTTGTCTACCCGGCACTCGAGCAGTATGTCGAGGGTGGCAAAGAAATGGCTGAGCACGACCGAGCGGAGCACAGAGAGGTATGTCAATGACTACGGCCCATTCATTCTTGACTGCTGACCACCCTGGAACAACAGGTGAAGGAGCTTCTCTACGAATTTCAAAACATGTCTGCATCCGATCCGGAATTCAAACCCACCTTGCAAAGACTTTGGGCGACACTGGGCAAGCATATCGAGGAAGAAGAGAGCGACGATCTCCCAAAATTGGAGAAAGCATTGCCGCCAGGAGAGAGCGATTCAATGGCGAGGAGTTTCGCCAGAACCAAGATGTTTGTTCCCACGCGAAGCCATCCGTCGGCACCGGACAGGCCGCCTTTCGAGACTGTTGCAGGGCTCATGGCAGCACCGATTGACAGGTTGGGCGATTTGTTCAGGAAGTTTCCGAAAGATAAAGATTAGGTTCAGAGGTGTCCTCGTCCAGTAATTCATACTCTTGCCTCTACTCTGCTGCCTTGCCGTCATCCGCGGCATCTTCATTGTCTTCCAACCCACTGCCGAACGTCTTTCTCTAGCCCAAGCTTGATATCTCCTGGCAAAGCATCGCAACCTTTCCTGCTCCATTGTCAACCCACATCCCGAAAGTACCGTTCCCAGCGGGAACTTCTGGACGGTGCAATGCCAAAGCTTCGTGGATCAAATCATAAAAGAGCCAGAAATAAGATATCAACACGTGAGTGCACTGACTGTGGCTCTCATGAAACGGATATATCGGTCATCATACTTTCACAGCCGTCTGTCACTGCTCTTCCTTCTCATTCGGGAGAACCTCCTCGTTAAACCAACCCGACGCGTGGTGCGGACAGTGCTGAGGGACGTGCACTCTTCTAACCAGCACGGGCATGTCCACCCTGTCGGTGCCGAAAGAAAAATCCGATTTCTCAATGTTGGTTCGGTGGTCAGTGCGACTGCACGGTGACATTTCGATAGGTACATTGCTTGCGTGGCCATCCCTCTACCGAAATCGTTCTGTACAGATATTCAGCATCTGTTGGGTGCTAGTAACCATTGTCAACGTGCCAATACATTGCTCCGCCTCCCGGCCCTGGGTAACACAAGGTCAATTTCGCTAATATATGGCACGGAGGAACCTGCAAAATCTCGATAGTGGAAGTGGTGTTGATACTTTTGGTATCCTGTTCGTGCATGGTCCTCGTTCATAAACTTTCCATCTCAATTCTTGTGGTCCAGATCCCCATTTATATTGCCGTTTATAACGCCCAGACCCGTATTGCTTCGTCCCCGGCGCCGTCCCCATACTTCGTAGCCCCATTCGGTCAGCTGGAACATCCACCCTCCGCCCACCAACACCCCAGAGATGACATTGACCAAGCGCACCAATAATCCCAACAGGCTATCTCTCCGCTCGCTTACAATCAGTAGGATCGGTTCGATGTCATACTTGAAGAAAATGCCCGGCACCGTGTTCGTCGGCACTTCCCTCGACTGTGACGTAGCGGCGTATTGATTTGTAAAGATCGACTTTGAGTCAGTGCCAGCCTTGGGGTTGGGGATATGTCTGACAATCCCGTCCTTGTCCTTGCGTGTATTTGGTGTCATGTCAAGCGTTGGTGGTTGCGGGATGGCTGCCGGATCCAGGCTTCTGGATTTTGTCGAGATACGGCGTTTCGTGAAGATGGTCGGCACAATGGAGAGGTAGTACTGGTACCGCATGAAGTGCGCCTCGGTGCTATCGCTGGTCTTATCAAGCGGGTTGAGCAGATTCGGATAGTGAGGGCCAAATGATAGCTCGTTGATGTGGTGCGAGAAATTAAACGTTCCATGTTCCAGGTGCTGCTGTCCTCCGAACTCCATGTACCCGTGCCCTCGCGCCGTGATGTGAAAATCGCCTTGTACTTTGTTGCCCTCGAGCGAGCCGTAGATGCGGCAGCTGTCGACGGGCGCGCCACGCAGACGTGGCGTCTTCGAAAACTTCTTGCTTGGGTTCTCGCGCATGTGGCCCAGCACATGGCCCACGTGTGAGTCTTCCTCCTCGGCTTTCTTGCGCTCCTGGTCGTCCTCGTGCAGGCTTTGGTAATTGCGGCGCCGACGCTTTCGAGGGTCACCAGTCCATAGGGCAAAGTTTGTATCTTCTTTGGTCAGGAGATCCCCAGCCATGATGCGGTCCATGGCTGCGTCTTGAACGTTCACGTGGAGATCGCGACAGGACATGGCGACCACAATGTCAAGGTTCAATTGTAGTTCATGGCCCACGCCTCTTTCCACCGAGAAATGGTGCGTCTCTATCCCTGACCACCACGCTCGCAACTCATTGAAGGTGAGGCATGTGCAAAGGATAATGATAGCGAGGGTCCATTGCCCGCCACGGGCGGTTGTAGAGGTGTAATTTGGTTTAGTTTTTGCTGCAGTAATAAGATTAGCCTTGCGACCACAATATCGTATCTGCTAAGGTAGAAATACATACGGAAAGCATCAAACGTTCTGAGGCTCGACAAGCCCTTGTCCTCGAACGCGGAGTCGTCGAGACCGTGGGTTTCAAAAGAATCCATCTTGTTCTATGAGAGCCTAGACAGCTCCAACCTCAAGCCGCACCGCATGTATGAGATGGACGACAAGGATTCTGTGCTTTGAATTGACTGACATGAAGCGCTATGTCAAGGTCGAGGGCGCAGTCTGGCATAGGCCCATTATTTTATTATTGATTTGGCCAGATGTTGTTTCATGCAGGGTTCAGCCTTGCAGCGAATGACATTTCAGGCGTAACACGGGTACTGATAGGAATTCTATACTCGTACAGTAAACAACCTGTCACTCATGCACAGCATCAATGCAAGCATCACTTTCTCATATGATAATGCTTTTCAATCATAATCATTTCAATACTCATAAATACATTCATAGCTGGGGATAGTCATTTATCCGACCATCGTTGCTTTTCAACGTGACAAAACCGAATACAATGCCATGGGGGTATCTTTGTAGCAATGCTGCCTCTCCGAACCTGTTCTCAATCGTATGTACTCAATGTTCTGACCTCCTGCAACGCTCGGCTGCAAGAAAATCTGCTGCGCATCCGGCATGCAAATGTTGTCTAACTTCCGCTTTTGGTCCGTCACTCCTCAATAGGTTCCAGAGAAAAATCGGCCCGTCTCTCAGCTCCACACACGGACCATCTTTTTCTTTCTTTGTTGCTTCTGAGGTTGCTTGCTCGCAATTCGAGCGAGCTCCTCCGGCGAGGCTCACTTGTATCACTGTCGTCACCCTTCACCTTGGCCTCCTCTTCGAGAAGGGCTGCCTCTTCCGCATCGGGCGTGTCTTCGATCGTCTCCAGGGAACTGATGGATGGCGAGCGAGAACGCAAGGATGTTGGAGTACTGGGCACGCTCGAGGCTGAGCTATACGAGTAGTTTGGATAGGCTTCATAAGCGTATTTTGGTGGAGCCAATGATGGCGAAGGGGACGTTCTGCCCGACATTGGACTTGACGCTCTTACATGCAAGGAGGGTGCGCTTGCACTCTGATGCAGAGGAATATTAGTCCGCCGACGAGCCCTGGGGAAAGTGTTTGAGAAGGATGCGAGGGGAGAAGGATGTGACAGATCGATCTCTGAAGATAGGTCGAGTTCCGCATGTTCAGGGATGTTCGGTTCAATATTGAGTCCACTCCATGATGGACCTGTAGGATATGAGTCTTCCATGGCAGATCTTAGTGGGCTCCTCCTTCTTCCTGAATGCAGTGGTGAAGACGGTCTTCTTACGGTGGCGTATGGGCTCATGTAACGCCCCGAAGAATCCACACCAGGCGAAGAATGGGCTCGCTGCATAGGTGGTGAGCTCACCGTCCCAGATGAAAACTGTCTCATTCTCCTTGGAGGTGACTGAGCTCTTGTTTTGGAGGGATTGTGAGACTGGAGGAAATATTCGTTGGGGCCGGGCTGGCTCTCGTATGCGGGAAAGGATGAAATAGGCGGTGAAGACGGGATGTCCTGTGCTTCTTCTTCTTCTTCTTCTTCTTCGTCGTCTGGAGGAGACAGTGGTAATGCAACCCTTTCGGCGGAGATGTGGGAGATGTGCGCGGAATCATGGACTTTGGCTTTGCTGCCGGAGACAGCGGAGTGAGTCAAGGTGGTGTTTGTCAGCGGCGACATGGTGTCGAATTGTGTGTTCGTTCCGAGTAGTGAGGTTTGTAAGATTTTAGCGGACTGAGGGAAGAACTGCTCGCATACTGTCGCGGCGTGATGCTCGTGCGATGTTGTTGTGAAACGTCGAATGCGGCCAGGCCAGGGAGGTCTGGCAGCCGTTGTGGCGGGCTTCAAGGGAGATTGACTTGTGCACCAAAGCGAAAGTCCAGCAGACGCGTCAGTGGTTTTGAAGGCCAACCCAGCAAACCTCGAGGCCGATCTGGGGCTTGGAGGTTGCTGGTCACAAGTATTTGCGGGAAAGAGTTGTGAATCGACCTGGAGAGTTTCCAATAAATTGAGAATGAGGTAGGGACGGCAAACTGAAGCAAGTCGTTTATCGGTAGTAGGGGTAGTGTAAGTTTGCTTAGTCGGTTTAGTTATCGTTGGCAGCTGTGGTAGGGAGTAATGCGGAGGGAATAACAGAGGCGGTTATTGGGTGTCGGCGATAGCGGGTTTTAGATCCTAGGAAAAGGCCCCCTCGTTGTTAAAATGGCCTGAAAGTGAACTTTTTCTTCTGCGACAAAGAGGTTTTTTATTCTCGAAGATGACAAGAATGATCGGTTCACTTTTTTTTTCTTTTCGAGGGCCTTGTGACTTGTATATTCAAGTCGCCTGGAATATTCCGTCTTCTACCACCTTTAACGCCGCACCTTCGCCCGCCCAGTCGCCGTAAGGCACCACATTGGGAGAAATCTCTGCTTTTAGCTTCAGCCTTGCCGCCCTCACGGATCCGTGCACTCAATAACACGGCTGGTCAGAGCAGATTTCTCTCGTGGCTTTGGTCCCTCTACACCATTTCTAGACAGTCCTTCCGATCCTTTGGGTCGCTACCATACTTCTGGGACCTTTCCACGTGGTGAAAGCAGTCCGTACAGGACACCGTGTGTTTCGGAAGCCTCCGGTGTCGGGTTCAGTCGTGCATTGACCTACGACAAAATACTACCCTCCATGTCCTCGTGGAAGCCAAGCGAAGCATTCATCGAGTAGATCTTGCCTACAAACAGCAATCAATCGCCGTCTTTGCTTTGGACGTGCCATGCAAAAACTTGACGTGAACATGAAGCTAGGATCACCGGTAAGGGTTCTCAGATTGCCATTCCCTCTCCACATGCTACTGATTTACTACTCCAGCTTCTTTGCGATCGTCAAGACAGCAATCCAGTCCCACTCGATCTCCCCATCGCCATATTTCTGCTTCATGTACCTTTCGACGGCGGTCCTTGCGCGCTCACCGTACTGGTCCTGCTCTTCTTTTGTCCATCTCTTGGTCATTATTTGTCCCAGTATTCCGTTGAGCAATCCCATGATGCCCGGATTTGCTGGGAGTATGCTCCGATGAGGAACAGATTCTGTTTGGACATCGACAAAGCTCAATGGGGGGAGAAGCTGGCGGATGAAGGCAGGGTCACCCCATTGGGCGTCAGGCGAAAACAGCTGGCGAAGTGTCTCGTCGACCCGGATCTCTGGGAGGTCGGCCTCAGTGGCCAGTGCAGCTCTCACATCGGGAAACCAACCCACACGCTTCCACGTGGACATGGCCAGTGTACCCCCGGGGCGTAGTATGCGATGGGTTTCGCGGAGCCCGGCCTTGGGGTCAGCGAAGATTTCTGGCCCAAAGTTCAAGAGAACGTGAGTGAAATGTGAATCGGGCAATTTGGTGTCCATGGCGTCAGCTTTGATGGCTTGTGCGTTCTTCCAGCCAGAGGCCTCGATTCGCTTCGTCATAAAATCGACCATGGGGTCAGCGTAGTCGGCGCAGGTGAGTTCTAGATTCTCTCGGGCCTTCCCATCGAGTGTTTCCATCAGGTGGACCGAAACAATACCGGTGCCGCATGCTTCATCAAGGACGGCAAGTTTCTGATCGTCTGGGACTTTTCCGAGGTTTACTTTCTCGAGCAATAGTTTTGCGTAGCTGCCTGTGAGCTTTTCCGCCGAGGTGTACGTTTGAGCAAAACCAGGCGAATTGAACATCGACTTGGACTTTTTCTCCGGCTTCTCATCCTGCTCGTTGATCGGGGCCATGGTTGAGTACGGGGAGTGTAGAACCTAGACTAGTAATGACTTCGAAACGATCTGTACAAGCAACAATATCTGGATCGAGGCTTCGTACTCTTTTGAGGAACTACAAAGACGCTGAGACACTGGGAAGCAATTGTGCGAAGCTGAACACGAGGAATGGCATGCCTTACCATCCATTGAACGAACATAACCGGCGACTTGCATCAAATTTGTCCGAAGGTCAGCCACTACTGGTAGTCGAATGGGTTGGAGGTCGCAAAGTCTGACATGGTGGTCCTCCAAACGGGAGACCTGCTTCGCACAGCAAGATCTCTCCTCGTTTTATATAAAATGGAAACAGTTCCCATAGCAAACAGGTCAAAAGCAATTTAGACAGTGATTACAATGTCCGGGACTTCTTCGGGAACTGGCCATCGTCATTGTTTACTTCTCAAAGTTAAATTATTCTTCCTACGCTTCTCATTGTCGACCAACGTCTCGTGATTGATATACCTTAGTTGATTTGAGCGCTTTCAACAATGCCTCATGCCCGTTCCAGTCAAAAGTGCGCCCCCTCAAAGGGCAGATGATATTGATCCAAAAGCAACATGCTCAATCAGCAGGCAGGGCGCGGGGAAGTCTCTCCAGCACTTCAGCGCAGGCAAACACCGCACACGGCTACCAGCGCCACCTTCGCTAGCCCAACACGCGACGAGCAAGACTGTCAAGCAACCAAATGTACCTACAACTCCTGCAACGGGGCCAGGGATCCCTCGAGCTCGATCAATAGTGGCGCATACTGGTGCTCGGATTGCTGCCAATAGGAGCGCCGGCGTGGCATCTTCGGGCACACTGACGACACAGGTACCATCGAAAGGTGATGCGCAGAATACGAAGCCTGACCCTCAACAACGCTTGCTCATGCCTTTTACGCGAGCATCTTTCGAACCTCGAGCTCAAAATGATCGTCTTGCAAAGCCAGCCCCGCCTCGTGCAGGTAGCCACGCCAGGGCCCCTCCTTCAGTCGCCGCTCCATTGCTGGAGAAACCTGCCTTCAACACATATGACAAGCACTACAGTCCCAAGAAGATCAACAACAGGTCTGCAGGATCTCCGACCCTTGCCATCCCTCACGTCACTACGAATGGTCAGCAAGGGTCAAGAAGCATTGAACCTTCGCGTAATGCAAAGCGCCTTTTCGTTGATGAACTGCTGCAGTTGAGCCTTGTACATGATAAAGCTGGACCAACCCTTCGGGGATACGAGGCGAGCATCACAGTGCAACTCGATGCCGCAGCCGTGGCGATCACAAGAGACATCGCTAGACTAGTGGACCTGGAGCGCGCTCGGCAGTCTCACGTCAACGCAGAGGCGGTCATCAGATGGATCGGACCAGTGGATGTTCTATCAACCGTACAGAAGGGCGAGGGCAGGTTGCTTGCTGTGGCGCATTGTGTGAAAGAGTTGAATGAGACAGTACAAGAGGACGGACCTCTGCAAAAGGTTATGCAAGAATTTGTCCAATGGCACGTGCTCGTGTCTTCTAAAGGAAAGAACCGCGATGTGTTTGACGGCAAACAAGAGAAAACACTTTCCGCCGCGCCAATGAACTCATCGTGGGCAGCCTTGGTCGACTCCATCCAGGCTAAGGTCACTGCCTGCAGGGACTTGTTAGCCGAAGTACAAGAAGCATCATCAGACGAATCGTCCATGGGTAGGTTGATCACCATGCACCACAGACCTGCTGCCCAAATACTGCAAGCGATCGATACCTGCAGGACAGTGGAGGGCCTGATTTTGCGACGAGAAATGGATTGGATGCAAACCTCACTTACAAATGCTATTGACGAGGCCGAGAGACATGACTTTGCACCAGAGTATCCTAAGTGCGATAGGACAGGTGTATGGAATACCTTCACATTCGGATGAGCTATCAAGACGAGATTCATGAGCACGGGAGCAATGTCCCATGTCCAACCGTCCTGCTCGGTCCACCACGAAAGCAGGCGAAGCTCGGCCCAAGGCTGAAAGTCGCAATCGACTACAAACCTTGCAATGTCTCGACCGATTCTTGCCTTGCTCGATACGTATGAAGGCAGTCATGAGGGTATTCCCCCATTTCATGGTACCTTGAGACTCGGCAACTGGCGGAATAACGATCGTTCGCCATCATACCTACGCCCGTATGAACGAATTGAGGTTCACAGATTCTTCGTCGTACGCACGATGACGCTAGTCGATGCAGCCACCAGGCAAGGCCCAGTAACCTTGCGAGAGAGCGTGGATGCACAAACCCCCTTGGTGGAGTGTAAGCTCGAGACGACTTGGAGACAAAGGGTCGGCGAATTGCAGGCGCAGAGTGACCGGCTTGGGCATGCCATGGAACGCTTCTCCGGGGCTGGTGTGAAGGGAGGGTATTAAGCCTTTTTACTACACAAAGTGTGCCCACGGGCATTGCACCACGCACCACCGGGAAGGAATTGCTTTGTCAGCGTGCCTCATCGGAGGGATCATTTTACGATCTGGTGGTTGCTGGCTATGCCCAGAAAGCATACCAACCTCGGCCAGTTCCATGTTGCCGCGAGAATACTGCGCTCCGGTAGTTCCTTTGTGGGGGGGGAGTTCTCGTTGTATTATTGCCTACGACTCAAGGTCCTGCAGATGGTTACGCGATCGTGTCCAAAGCCCGTAGCAGAAGCCTCGGCATCTGTCAAAACCATGTACCAGCACCTTTCCAATTGGGCAAAGTAAGCCTGTTTCAGAGTGACTAAGTGGTGACAAAAGGCTCCTATCTTGCAATTAGGGAAGCATGTTTACGCAACCGCACGTGGACCGAACCCAGACCGAGTTTGGCGACCTCTAGCGAGATACAGGCTCAAAGATTCAAAGGTACGGAGCAGTTGGCTACACTGAACATCAGGGCATCATGCCAGCCTCGGTTTCGAGCAGGAGCCTCAGCAGCGAGGTCATCAATGATCTCAAATCTGCCTATAGGGGAAGTCAGAGTCCGTGTTGACTCTACTGCATGCTGTAAGCCGGCATCATTTGTGCCTTTTCTCCCAGTAGGTATCCGTAGTCAATGTAGTCATGCGCAAGGCGGAAAGGAATTTGATCAACTGACAAAAGTGCGGACGGCGTGCCTACCGGTTAATGACAGCTTAGATAATACTTGTTCAATGTCAACGGGAAGATCGGCTTCTTCGGGGGGCGCCTTTTAGTAAGTTAAAGTGACACGGACTGTCTTCTCGGCCTTAAAAATGCCAACTGTTCGTTAAGGGATATCTATTCCTTTGCCTTACTAAGGAATGGAGCCGAAATGCTACACCATTACTACTCCAACCCCTAGCATTGCTATTCTTCGGTCTACCAGGTTTCGGTCATCAAAAAAGCTTCTCTACAGCGCCCAGCAATGACGAGAACCAACGAATATGAACGATACGATCCGCCCGGCCCTTGTCGCTGATCTTGTCCCGTTCGCCTGATGATGGTACGCAGCGAGCCTTTCTTCAGGGCCTGCCGATGCCGAAAACCCGTTTCAAGCGTAGTTTGTTAACAAGTTCCTTGCCCGGAGACTTTCACCGTTTCATCAGACAAGACATTACCGTATACATAGTAGGTAGAGCAAGAGACGAGTCTGTAGATGGATAGTCCGTACTGTCACTGCGCCGAAAATACTCCTCAGGATAATACCTACCTAGGTAGTCATCTACCAGTTGAACAAGTACTGTATAATATTGCTGACATGGGTAGAGGACTCGTATGGCATACCACAACACGAAACCCATTATCTCCATCTCTAATGCTCCATTGTCCCATGTTCCAAATCCACGAGGGGCCAGTGAGGCTGGCAGCTGCAGCCACGACGCCTCACCGAATTCTCTAGGGTACTAGTAGGGAAGAAAGCGTGGATCTCCCCTCCATCCGCTGACATGCTTCTACAAGCATGCAACCTCTGCAACCCTCTTCTGACTGGCCCTGCAGATGATTCGTTCTTCCGAAACCCTTCTCGAATCCTGAAATTCAGTCTTGACTCTTCTACATTCCGTACTCCGTACCGAGCAGCACCATCCGTAGTAGTACCCTACTAAGTTACCTTCGTCTTGTCTAAATCCCTCGTCGGCCTTCTATTCCTCCTTCCTTCAGACTATTCCTTCCAAGCCGCCCAATCTCCGTCTAGAACCTGCTCTGGGTCTGCTCCATTTCTTGCCTAGCTGCCGGTGACGCTGCATCGCACCACGCCAGCTTAGGTATGTTCTCGCAGTGGCTTCGATCGAGAGACGCGAAAATGCAAAATACCCTGTCCACCGCCACATGCATTCCTCCCATGCAATAGTTCACCCCAGACACTTCTTGTTACGACTCTTTATTTCAGTTCCCCTGGCCGTCATTCAGTAAGCTCGCCACGCGCCTTGACTCATTCGGTCAACACCATCTCAAATGTTGCCTTGTACATTCCGCCATCAGACCGTTCAAAGGACTCGAAGCCTGTGGCAGACCCATCGGGGAAGGTGATGGACACTGAACTACGTGGTCCAAATGATCGAGATCATGTAAAGTCAAGGTTCTCTGCGCCTCCTGGCAATGTTGCTCTGTCAAGAGTCACGAGTGCTCCCGAGCAGCGGCGGCCGGATGAATCTCCTTTGTCACCCCGTGGTCATGCCTCGCGCAAGCGCGACTCCCCCATGCACCGACCTTACCAGCGACCAGTAACGGAGTCATCGTCACCATCGACAACTTCGGCCTGGCCGTTGGAGAGTTACGCCTCACGCCGCTTTATGGACGAGCCGCCGGATAAACGTCCGCGCTTAGATTATGTGCCTGAGAAGGAGGAGATTGAGGCAGATTCGTCAATGACAAGGTTAGATCACTACGCGGTACGTATGGTCCGGCCCCGATCTGCAATTTTCTGGGGCAGATCGAACTGACGGCCGCTGAACGGCTAGACCAGTCGCTATGTTTACCCGCCCGAGTCTCTACCGCCACCACCACCTCCTCCTCCTCCTTCACAATCTAACTCCGAGAATCTACCTCGGTTCCATCCCGGATCTTGTGGAAACTGCTCAGACACCGAGTCCATCGTCGCAGAGCTGGTCAGAGGTCTGCTCGATTTGCAGTCGGATGTGACCCAAATCCTGCGTTTGCCGCCAGGCCGCAAGGCTGCCGTAGAGGTATTGGATATCTACTGCGACTAAGGGAGCGCCTGCTGACAGATTTTACTCAAGCATGAGGTGACTAAGCTGGGATTGAAGCAGAGTCTTGCTTGGTCAATCACTGAGATCCGGAGCACCAGTCGCCTCATCCGGGAAAACCCAGCGACAAGGGGAGGATTGCCTCCCTTGTCTAACGTGGTCCCACCTACACCGACGTCTGCAAGGGATGTACGACGACTTTCCCTTCACAATCAATCGTCTGCCGCGCCTCCGTCTATAAATGATCTCCGCCGAGTACCACTTCACCTCGATCCTCCTCGGAATGAGGAATACGCTCGGAGGCCCTACGAACAGTCTGACCAGATGCCTCGGCCTTTTGAGCAGACTCTGCCCCCTATCCAACAAAGTGAGGAGTTCAGACGTAATGAACAGCCTGTCAGCAGCGTTGTTGGTCAGTCGCCTTACCCGTCATCATCTTCGTCTGTCTTCGGCTCTGCTCAGTCCCCAATTCAATCCCAGCCTTCAAGCAGAACTCTACCGTCACCCCCAGGCATGCAATACCCGAGGGCAGGAAGCTCGGGCTCAGTACACTACTCGCCGAGCGCAACCCATTCCGCACAGCACAGTCACCTCCAGGATCTCCAACATCAGATTTCGACCAAAACATTGGCTCTGCAGACATTACAACGCGAACACGATCAGCTACTGGCCGCATTTTCGAGATCACAGATCCGATGTACAGCTCTAGACAAGAAATCACAAGTGTCGGATCACGAAATCAACTCCCTAACCGAGGACAAAATCCGACTACAGCAGCAGGTGGAGACGTTGGAGGCTCAAGTGCAAGACCTCATGAGATCACGCGACGAGCTTACCCAGAAATCGACTGTGGATGGGGCACAGTGGAGGCAGATCATGGCCATGTCATCCCAGCTGCAGATGCAAGGTGCCGAGGAAGCAAGACGCTTCAAGGCCAAACAAGACGAATGGGAACAGGAGCGTACAGCGTTACGGAAACGGATCGAAGAGCTAGAGTCTGGTGAGGTCGCTATTGCTGCAGCGAAAACGACGTCTGGTCCTACAAGCTCAGTGGCGAGTGATGCCATTCTGACTTCCGACTCTGTCGAGGTTCTACGACAGGAGATTATCAAACTCAGGCGTCGTTGTTTCGAATTGGAAGCAAAGTTGCAAGGGCTAGCGGGAGAAGCGGCACAGATTGACAGTGCCATCAATGCCATGGAGAGCGTGCGCAGGACTCTTGCAGGCAAGAAACGAAGTTCCGATGATAGCTAGGTCGACAAAGGCCACAGTGGGATAGTCTGTTGGACGATTTCTTCAATGTGGCTTCTCAGTGGACTTTTCATTGGCTCTTTGCTCTCTCAATCTCAATCTGACGAGGTCGCAACGCCAATGTACCGGCATCATCAACCATCGCCACACTCGAGCTGCCCGTCGGCCGAGGTATTGCACAATGGCCTCTCCGCATGCAGAGGACAGCTCATGGTCGCCTCGTACGCCATCGATTGAGAGATGCAAAGCTGTGCTCATGCAGGACATAAACAAACGCCCCTAACCGTTCCAGACCGGGGCTGGTCACACATGGGTTGGTATGGCCGTAAGCTGTCGGTACTGTTTCGTCGAGAAAACTGGGGGGGCCGGTTTGGGAGGATACGCATAGGTGAAGCTATAGGTGAGGTTATGCATATGTTCATGTCTTGCGTTATTCTTGACATGATAGTGCTTGGGATTTGGGATGCATCGCGGATGATTTGACTATTCTCAATCCGGTGAGTAAACATATCAACGCCAGCCTCGCCCTGGCTGGACGCGGGATCGAGATTGGATTTTATGAGCAGCGAAAACGGACGAATACGAAGTAGTGAGCAGGTGCCCCTGAGCATGCATACATATACCCACATAGCATATTGTCTTTTTGGTAACTCAGTTTTCTGCCCTTTTGCAGGATTTGATGTGGCACCTGCTGTTTGTTGACTTATGGAGAAGGCGGGGAGACTGCAAATGAGTGAGTGAGTGCGGGCGGCAAGAATGAATCAATAATGGGAATGTCTCCCGCGGAACTCGACTTCAGTGAACTTTACATGACATCAATCAGCAACTCGTAAGAAACAACCTCCTAGTACTCACTCAACAGAGCATCCGCTGGATAGTACTGTCCTTGAACGCCGCCATCCAACTAGACGACTTACTCAGCTGCTTCTGCTTTCGCCACATGCGACAGGCCTTGATCCGGCACCTCCACGATCCTACCGCGTCAAATCAGGTGGTCTCACAACATACCCGAACGAGCCTCGATCCCTTCATTCACACTTCAGCCGAGGTCAGCTACGTTACACCTTTCAAATAGCTTGCATGTGTCCACCAGCAGAAAGCCCCGCTGCCCAAGTCGACGCCCCTCGAATAGTCAGACATGGGCGATAACTTTGATGTGAGGTTGTTGAAACGGAGCATCGGGGCGGCGAAAAGAGACAGGTCTATCAAGACATTGTACGGGGACAAAACCTGGGTGGAGGATCTCGATATCGTCAATGAACTCGGAGCCCACACAGGTTGTGTCAATGCCCTAAGGTAACTCTTCCTTGTGTTCATCTTGTGCACGTATTCCCGCTGACTGACCTTCCGGCTAGTTGGTCTACAAGTGGCAACTTCCTCGCCTCCGGTTCCGACGATACCCATCTAAACATTTGGGAGTACAACCCTGCAGGGCTATACAATACCTTTTCTCTGAACACGAGCGTTAGTACCGGTCACCATGCAAACATCTTCTCGGTCAAGTTCATGCCGCACTCCGGGGACAGGAAAGTCGTCACATGTGCTGGAGACTCCGAGGTCCGAGTGTTCGACCTCGAATATGCGGGCTCGTCGCAGACAGGCTCAACAGACCCGAGCTTGTCCGCGAGCACAAGAAGTAGGAGGTTCAACACTTTCTTTCGGAATGCAAGATGGTTGAACGAAGGCAACACCAATGCTCGCGTATACCGAAGCCATGCCGACCGCGTCAAGAGAATAGTCACAGAGTCCAGCCCCCACCTCTTCTTGACCTGCTCCGAGGACGGAGAGGTACGGCAGTGGGACCTGAGGCAGCCTTCATCAGCGTATCCTGCTCCTCGAGGTGGACGAGGACTTGGGGGTTTGCGAGGAAGCACGGAAGAAGAGTCCGGAGATACTCCGCCACCACTGATCTCCTACAAGAAGTATGCTCTGGACTTGAATACCATTTCGTGTGCAGCCAGCCAGCCACAGTACATTGCACTAGGCGGGGCCCATCTCCACTGCTTCTTGCATGACAGACGCATGCTTGGCCGCGATACTGAGAGTGAAAAGGGTCGACCTGCCACTCGCAAGCCTGTTGTTGGCACTTACGAAGATGAAGCAATGGCAGAAGCCACGAAGTGTGTGCGACGGTTCGCCCCAAATAACAAACGTAAGATGGGCCTACATGATCACGGCCACATCACAGCATGTAAGATAAGTGACGCTAACCCGAACGAAATGATCGCATCGTGGTCCGGTGATCACATCTACAGCTTTGATATCGTAAAATCACCAGACGCCAGAGGCGCCGATGCCAGACAAAATGAGGCCTTTCAAGCGACCCGTCTCCGGAACCGTTCTGACCGCAAGCGAAAGAGGACCACCAAGGGCAATGCCTCGTCGAGCAGCTTGACAGAGTCGACTAACCCCAGTCGACGTCTTCGAAGAGTGCCGGATGAGCAGCTGGAAGAAGGCCATACCGCGTTACTCGCAAGATACAGTGATGGAGCGTCTGAGTTGATCCGGCTCCCTACTGACGAGGCCGACCCCAACACCGAACCTGCTCCTTCCCATGAAGTTCTCCTTACCGAAGCTCAAAGGTCGGGTGAGCGTGTCGCTCGATCATTGACTCGACTTCGCAAAACCCTGTTCGACTTCTCGGCGTTCTTGGGACAGGACACCGCCGTATCCATGGAAGGTTCTTCGGAGCTCACGCCGTATACGAAGGTACTCACCAACGCGCTCGGCCAGTGTGCTTCTCTGCTCCCACAGATGGACGAGATCATTCGCACCTGGTCCTATCCCATCAATCCGAGCGAGGAGGATGTTATGCTCCAGAACACCTTGAGAAGGAATAGGCAAGCAAGTTGGCGTTTTGTGCAGGCTTCGGGCTGCCTCGCTCGTTGCCTTGGCGGTCGTTTGCAGAGCGCAAGTTCCGCGCCTGATGTCCGGCTGGCGCATTTTGACATGATCAAGCCTGCAGCTCACGAGGGCAAAAACACCAACAGGGGGTCAAGATTTTGCTACGACTTCCTCAAGGCAATCCTTCTCTGGTTGGAAGGAGGCCAGAAAGCCGTGCTTGAAGCGTTCCAGAGACCTGCCCATATCAGTGCGGAAAGTCCTCGTTTTCCGCTCGACAGAAACGACACGGTGGAGAATTTCGTGCCGAAGTTGGAAGCATATCTTATGAGCCTCGCAGATCAAGATGCTCCTGTGATTGATATCGATGCAAACCGATTCGAGCGTGATGAGAGTCGTGTGGTCTTTCACGATCAGGAGTCCGCTGTTGCCGCTTTCACCAGAGCCCTTGCAGGCGTACCTCTCGAAACAAATCAAGGCATGTCTGAAGGGGTCGTTGATCCCTCAGGCTCCAACAGTACTGTTCGCGTCATGGACAAGGGAGCTGCAGCACGATTCTGGGGGCTTAAAGTTGGCCGCTCCTTACTATTGAGCGCTGCTACAGGGGTGACGTTTGACTTTGTCAATCGAGCATTTGGAGGATTGAGGCTCCATGTTCTTCCGCATATGGAAACCGAAGAACGAACACAAGAAGACATTGACCCCGAAGAAGAAGAACGGGTCGTAGAGGCTATCGACGTTGTGAGGAGAACGAATGCTTCCGACAATGGACAGCCTTCTGGCGCTGCGTCCGAATCCCCGCATACTGCTCATGAGATGACTGGAGGATCCGGTCGTTCCGATGTCGAAATGAGTACCCCTCCTACCGTCCACGTCGAAGATGTCGATAAAGACGAGGACGAGGGAGAGGAAGTACCCGATGATGAATATGATGATAATAACGAAAATGACGAATCTGAGTCTGACCACTCAGACTCCGATGATGACTCGGATGATGACGATGACGACGGTGAATTTGCGTCTCAGCAGATATTGTTTCGGCGGCGAACTGGATTCGGCCGGTCTCGCGAGCGAGCCTCGGTCAATTTGCACGTTCCATACTCATCCCACAGCAGGGTCTACAAAGGCCACTGCAATACGCGTACGGTCAAGGACGTCAACTACTACGGACTGAACGACGAGTACGTGGTCAGCGGATCAGACGACGGCCATTTCTTCATCTGGGATCGGAAGACGTCCAAAATCCTTAATATCCTGGAAGGAGATGGGGAAGTGGTCAATGTGGTGCAAGGACATCCGTACGAGCCCATGATCGCATGCAGTGGTATTGATAGTACGATCAAGGTCTTTGGACCTGCAGGTGAAAGTCGGGAACGATACACCGCTGAGAAAGGACTTGACGTCGCCAATCCTGGAGGGAGTGTACATAGCTCGCTGCGTTTCGATGGTCGAAGGAGCACGAGGCGGATGCGGCAAGGCGACGAAGATGACAGTGACATTGATGTGGATGTTGAACACTCGAGCAATGGTCTAGAGACTCGCCGAGCCATGCACCGGGAATATGAGATCACCAGCCAGAATGATGCGGAGCGAAGACGCGGCGTGGGCGACACCCTTGTCACGGTAGGTACTATGGAGGCACTGCTGGCGCGCGCATGGATCATGTCGGGAGTGCATTTGATCTGATTTCCTTATTGCCGGCACGATTGTTGCTGACCACTGTGGTGCCATGCAGGAGGGAATGCTTGCTAGGTTTGCCATGGCCTTGCAACGCGGTCAGATTGAGGGAGTCGGCGGACAAGGCTTTGGCGGCCAGGGGGGCACCATTGTCGTGGACGACAATTGTCTGGTAAGACGGAGAAGCAAAGACTTGCATGACGTTCTGCCCTCATTACTAATCCGTTTGTCAGGTCATGTGAGGCCATGGCGGTCGTCTCCGATCCATGGGCCACCCTTGTGCGGTACCTCACAGAGTTTCCTCCTCAGGATGGCACTTTATGAGTGGTGGTCCTATCAGCGCGTCGAGTTGCGAGTTGTGATATAGGCTCACTATAAGACTTGGCTCCTCAAATATCATGCTCCGCTCAGGTAGCCGGTTCGCCGCAAATTCGGCTCCATGGCCAAACACGTGCCTTGTAGCTATCAAACAGACACTGCTGCAGTCATTGTAAGAACCCACTGTATGTCCATGGCACGAATCTTCAGACCCATCCTGGAGCAAGCATGTGAAGACCATTAATAGTCGTGGTCTGATGATGGATCCTGTAGACTGTCGTGCCAAGACTTGGCTAGAATGGGCCAAATGCAGGGCGACAATGGAAGAAGCATTCTTTTTTCACCCTTCAAGATGTGATGGCCGGATCGCCGCGGGTGACCATGAACGGTGAGCATAGTGTCGAGGGCGTCGAGGACACGCCGCACTACCTGCAAACAATTCTTGGACACGTCGCCGAAAACGGCAACATCATAACGAAATTTTCGAGCAATGATAACATCCCTTCGCTTCAAGAAATCAAGTCGTTAACAGACCGCGACCAGCAGTATGCACTACTTCTGCTGGCCCGCCATCGCCTAACCCGGGCTCTGGCCGATTCTCAAGGTCTTTCGCCCGAGCTCATTCTGCATCGTGCTTCAGTCTACGAAGCCCTGGGCTACAGCGATCTCGCTCTCGCAGACGCCTACGTCTCGTACACGCTGTGCGAAGTCGTGCTCGAAGGATCACACGTTTCGGACCTCGAACCGACAGGACCAGATGGCGAGCCATGGTCGGAGACCGAAGACACAGCGAGCGTCTTGGTTCACAAGTATCGGTCACTGATCCTGTTGTGTCGGTCAGCGCTTCTCCTGGGATGTCAACATCAAGCGAAAGTGTGGATTGATGATTTACTGGCGCTGAAGGGTGAACTGCAGATGGAGGAGAAGGAGGGTGAACCGCGTGCGTCTTCGCAAGATGCCGTGGTCGAGGATTTCTGTAACTTCTTTTCCATCTACGGTGAGGATGGCAGCTTTAAACAGTCCGTCGCCGAGTCGCGGCAGAATCCGAAGCCCGCGCTGTATGGCTGGAGCCAGCGACAGGTGTATCCGTGGAACGAGCATGAACCTGATCGGATGTCGAAACACGCACTGGACGAGATCAATAGCAGGCTTCATGAAGCTGCCGAGAACTTGGAGGTGGAAATTTCCATCCTGCCTAATCTTGTGACGGACGATGCTGCAGCCTCCGGAGGGAATGGATCTACTACACCAGCGGAAAGCTGGTCACAGCTGGGCCTTTACGCGAAGAAGGATCTTGCACCCGGCACGACTATACTGGAAGAACGATCAATGCTGACTGCCATTCGACCACACGGCGAAGCTCTCTGCGACGCTTGTGCCGCTGACATGGAAGGCATTTCTCAAGAAGACCGACGTTATTGTGCGGGTTGCGATATCCCATTTTGCTCGGAAGCATGCCATGCTCTTGCGATGGAGAAATATCATGCTCCAAATAAAGAGGACGAGGAAACAGACGAAGGATATCCACCCGCAGCAACGCCCTTTTGTCCTGGGTCGAGCGGCAATGAGGATCTCCATACACTGGGCCGTGCCGAAAGCTCGACAACGCCAGAGTGGGATTTGTATTTCCTTCTACTTTCGAGGGCCATGCAAATGTCTGAAACCCAGGGTGTGCACCCATTAGACCTATTTGAGGTCAAGTATCTCTGGGGTGACTTCTTACCTACCCCAACCCTGAGCAACCTGTCATTGCACAATGGTCCCAAGACTTTGCCGTACAGTGTTCGCCACCATGTTGAGCTTCCATTGCAGTGGTTCGAAGTCCTCATGCACTCCCGCGAAGAGTGCAGACCGTACAGTGCGCAATGGTTGGAGAAGTATGATTGGTGGATCCTGCAGACGCTGTTCGCGAAATTCCGTGGTGTGGCGGACGCACAGCAGTCGACTTGGACGGGCAAGGCTGAAGTCGCGGCCGTCCATCCACTGTGGTGTCTAGCAAACCATAGCTGCAACCCGAACGTTACGTGGAAGCCGTCGGGAGTGAGAAACTTCACTGTCATGACTGAAAGGGTCTGGCAGCATCCGGACAGCAAGGACCACGAAGAGTGGATGGGCATCAAGGCGGGTGAGGAGATCTGGAATCATTATACCGATGTTCAAGAGCCGGATTATCAGGAGAGAAGGGCAAGATTACAGGCTGTCCTTGGTGGTGATTGCCGATGTGAAAGGTGTACTTACGAAGAAAGTGCCGCGAAGTGAACAGGATTTCAAGGTCGTACCTGCTTTTCTCGCCACGTCAACGATGATCTGGAGGAAGTCGGACGGAAATTGCACACCCCCAAATGATGTCCATTTCTTCCAGATGTCGGAAACACCAATGTGCCTGCCATGCGAAGGGAGGTGTGCGGACGAATCAAGGAAGCAAGCACGGCCGTGCTTCTCGAAGTGGAAAGCACTACACCACATTTATGGACGAAACCGCCGCCGCTCTCATGTATCTCTATCACCTCATCAGAACTCAGCCCAACGCATGATTTCTATGCCCCAGATATGCTCATGGACCAGGATACCGAGACATCGAAACGTCGGAAGCTCCGCAAACGCCTCGGCCAATTCCTGCGCGACATCAAGTACTTCTTATTAGATTCCTTGTCTGACCTCTTCTGGATGTTAGCCATCGGAGGCGCAGCACTTGGTGTAAGTTGATCCAACCCTTTCAGACCAGGCACAGACTGACGGAAGCATTCAGCTCTATTCGATCTCATATCAACCACCACTTCTGGTTCGGATATACACCACCGCGGATCGACGCCTATACAACGACGCAATATCCTATCCTTTCCTTACTCCGATCTTCAGTTCGCTCGTCGCCGGCCTTGTCTGCTCCCTCATTCCCTTCGGCATCATCCTCTTCGCCCAGATATGGGTTCGCTCCTTTGCGGACGGCTCAGCGGCGATCATGGGCCTTTTTTACTCTCTTCTTACCGGCACTTTTTTCCAGGTCCTCTTGAAGAAATTCGTCGGAGGCATCCGGCCTCACTATCTTGCTGTTTGTCAGCCCGAACTTCCTGCACAAGGTCTCGGTTTCGATGGAGCCTTGTATCCAGCAGCGCAGATTTGCTCTGGAAACCCGGCACGAATCCTATATGCTTTGCAGAGCTTTCCATCTGGGCACTCGGAAGTTGCGTTTGCTGGATTTGGGTTCCTGGCCATCTACCTCTACACGCATTTGAGGATTGGCGATCATCGGAAGAGTGATAGGCTTGGATTTTGGCGTATGCTTCTTGTCCTGATGCCGATCATGCTGGCCACGTACATTTCTGCAACACTTGTCCTTGCTTACCATCACTACGTGCTTGATTGCGTATTTGGAGCAGCAATTGGTATCCTGACAGCACTTCTGGGTTACAGATTGGCCTTTCGCAGTCTGATATGCTCCAGAACCAACTGCGAGCCAAGGGTAGGAAAGAGATTGAAGCGAGACATGGGGAATAGAAAGCAGAAAGCGGAACGGTCACCTCAGATACCGGCAATGGACTGGTCGCGCGATCTGGAGCTGGGCAGCGTCACAACCCATCCCAGGACGGTCTCTGGTAGCCACACAAGGGTGCGACAGCCGATCTACTCGACCATCGACTCGGTGATGCACAGCAATGACGCCTAAGGCGGTGCCAGCACCGCATACAGCGAGTACTTTGTCTACAAGAGCGGGCATAAGTTCCTGAACAACGACTGCTTGGTTTAGAACGGCTGGTGCCGGTAATGCTGTTGCGGTAAGCTGAGTCTAGAAACAAAAGCATGCCGTGGATTGAATGTCTGGTATTCCTAATGTCACAAGCACTATTTCTAAGAGTAACTTGGTAGGTATACTCAAGATACCAGTCAAGCCGGTATCGACTCCAAAGAAGCAAGTCCAGGCTCCGACTTGATCTCGAAAGCCTCAGATTTGGGTGTCGTCGGTACACTACTCGCACTCGCATCATTATCTTCCCTGTTGTCTTTTGTTTTCTTTTCCCTCTCCCTTGCAGCCTCCCGTTCTCTGCGCCTTCGTCGACGTTCTTCACGCTCATCTTCTGCCGCAGCATTGGAGGATGATGTAAGCGGACTCAGACCAGAGTCCTTCCTGTCGACCGCGCTCCTTGGTTTCCGTCGGACGCTTGCCGTGCTACTCACACTGCTGCCGCGGCGCACACGCTCTGATACAGGTCGTCCCGTGTCAGCGCTTCCGTCGAGGTCCAGATGCGGCGTCGAAGACCTCGATGATTGTCTGCTCCGACTCTGTGTCGAGTCCGAATCCAGGCCTGTTCGGCGTCGACCTGCGCCCAATGCTAGAGCTCCTGCCAATGTGGAAACCGAGCCTTGTCGCCCATTGGAATGATGATGTCCATGTGGATGCTTTTCGAGATCGTGGTGCCGGCGTGTAGGTCGATTCGGTGCCAATTTCCAGGCACCTGTCCACCATTTCCAGCCGCCGGCCTCCTTAGCTCTCAAGCGCCGTTGGTGAGTGAGCTTTTTGCGCAGGCCCGCACGGCGCTCGTTTTCCTTCTCCCAATATTCTGTGCGGTATTCTTCCCAATTCTCGCGGAACTCCGGGCTGAATGATTTCGGTAGGAGGAGCAGCATGACACTGTCGCCTCCTTTGGCGAGGTCTTCTTCGGCAACAGTCCCGTCCTCGTGCTCGACCACATGCCAGTCTGAGCCGCCGGCTTCGCGCCATAGACCATAAGGCAATAGAAAGGATAAATGACCAAGAATCTCTCGCCAGAATTTTCCTCGGATAACGACCACCCGTAAATTGAAGCCTCGCAGGCCGCGGTTGGTGGTGCCGAGCCACTTGCGCGGCCAGCGTATCCCACGTTCGAATTGTCCTGTTCCCCACACCAGGAGGACCGTCACCACACCTCCCATCAACGCGAGTTTTTCGGACGTCTCGACGACCCAGTAGACGGAGCCGCCGAGGCCAGTGCCATCTTCGCGCGGGCGCAGGAAGAGGGCATAGAAGAATAGAGCGTTCCACGAGGCGAGGAGCAGGAGGAAGAAGGAATTCAGGCGACGGCGAGCGACGAGGTGGAGGTACTGTGCGCGCAGGGAGGATTCGAGGATGAGGAGGTTGAGATAGATCTGGGGCGGGGACGAGGGTAGTGCTGCGAGGGCTGAGTCGGGACTGTATTTCTCGGACTGTGACGATTTGCCGAGTGCAGGGAGTGGTGCTGTGGGTGGAGGTCGGACGTTGGCTGTTGGTGCGTCTTTGACGATCTGGTTCAGTCGAGATTCTGCTGTCATGATCGCTGACAGGGATACAAGGAGAAGTCGAGGTTGATAGTGAGGGCGTCTATGGCACGAGGTCACCTTGGTGCCATGGTGAAATGGGGGAGGTGTGTGTAAGCGGAGTGGGCAGGTTCGGTCGTCCTTCGCAATTTCGTGCAAGTCGCCCTAGTGAGAATGATGCCGTAGAATCTGGTGTTGCAAGTACAAGTCAACGTCGTTATAACTACAACCGCTGCTCGTGGTTGAACAGTTCAATGGCCGTTGGTACAGAGAGTGGGGAGTCAATAAATGACGGAGCACAGCGCAGCCTGACACGCATGCACAGCCTCGTCACATGATCTCAGCCTTGCTTATCTCATCCAAACTCCCTTTCCAAAGAAAAGAATAACCAACGGGCAACAACATTACAATGGGTTGACTTACACAGTACTGAATTCTGGTGAGAAACCACCTTCTTCATCATTATGAGAACTATTTGTGTAGAAATCGCTCACTGCTCTATTGTTCTTTGATCCATGGAGCAACGGACGAATGCGCCCGAATGGAGCAACCGCTAAGTCCATACAAAATCCGAGCCACGTGCATAAAGTAATGACGCGGATTTTCTGCCCGAGAAACTCGGAGGTCATTCGATACATTACTCCGAATTGCGCTCCGTATTGGATCTTGTTGATGATAATGACACTCACTCATTCTGCAAGGAGATTTCTTGATGCTTGACAAGGTTGTTTGACACCGACTCCGTGTCGCTGATCCGCTCATTGTGAACTGAACGTTATTCCTGTTGCCTGGCACTTTCCCTTATTGGATCTTTCTTATCGGGCTTTCTGCCACCACACCTCATATATCAATCGATAGACCGCTACACTCGCCTCCCAGCGCATGTCATTGCAAGAGGTACATGGATGAGACGGTCTCTACCTTTCACACTCCTAGAGGCTTTCCCTAGTACAAGAGTCACCCATTGCCCCTCTCTTCGTTTCCAGTCCACCACAACTTACCACGAATCCGAGCATACACCTCCCCCTTCTCGCCGCCCTCGCCGCCGACGCGTCATGTCCACCGACGCTGCGGACTCCGATGGCGAGATCCAAAACCGTGGCCAGCAGAGCGCGTTGGCTTCGAAACGTGCTAACGGCGAGAACCCACGAAGAAGTAGATTCGACGGCTTCTTTCCGTTGAGTTACAAGCAGGGCTTCAGTCAATGGTGGTCCAACATTCCCGCCGCAGAAGCCGAACATAGAGTCCTGTCACTCATCCCCTACCTTCAAAAACCTCCTACACATACGCAGACCGGTTCCGAACCACCTTCCAAGAACCCCTCGACCCTGTCAGTCGTAGACACCTCTCCTTCAAAACAAGCTCCACCGATCACGACAAACTCAATCACAGACCCGTACGGCCCTCGAACATGGTATTCACGGATGGTTCAGCTATCTGGCAAAAACAGAGCATTGAACGAGTTCTCGGTCGAGCGTACCGGCGAGGAGGCAGATCAAAACCTCGTGATAATACATGGCTACGGTGCTGGCCTCGGCTTCTTCTACAAGAACTTCGAGCCTTTGTCGAGGGCCAAGGGCTGGCATTTATACGCCCTGGATATGTTGGGTATGGGGCGTTCGTCACGCCCGCCGTTCCGCATAAAGTCCAAGAAACGTGAAGACCAGATCAAAGAGGCCGAAGACTGGTTCATCGACTCGTTAGAAGAGTGGCGTGTTAAGAAAGGAATCGACAAGTTCACACTGTGCGGCCACAGCATGGGAGGATACATGGCCGTGTGCTATGCTTTGAAATACCCAGGAAGACTCAACAAGCTTATTCTTGCTTCGCCGGTTGGTATCCCAGAGGATCCGTACGCTACTCATGCTGCCATGCCGGATCAAAAGGAGGTTGATCAGGCACAGCAAGACGAGGCGACAGCCTCCAAGACAAATACGCCCCCACCACGACGCCCATACAACAAAATCTTCACGTACCTTTGGGAGGCCAACGTCTCGGTTTTCGATCTCGTACGGTGGTCGGGTCCTCTTGGCCCGAGATTGGTGTCTGGCTGGACGAGTCGGCGTTTCTCGCATCTACCGGCTGATGAAGGCCTTGCCTTGCACGATTACAGCTACAGTCTGTTCCGGCAGCGAGGGAGTGGAGAGTACGCATTAGCATACATCCTGGCTCCCGGCGCCTTCGCTAGAAGTCCATTGATCCGACGCGTTCAAGGCATTGGGCGACAGCCCCTCCCAGCCGATCTTTCTACTTCATCTTCCGCCGAGCCACAGCTTGAAAGAGGCTTGCCTGTCGTCTTCATGTACGGCGAGAATGATTGGATGGATGTCAAGGGCGGATATGCAGCGAAGAAAAAGATCGATGCCGAACGTGCCCGAGCGTTGAGAGGTAAATCCGAGGCTGAGATTGCAGAGGATCAGGGTGGTGCCAAGGTCGTTATCGTCAAAAAGGCCGGCCATCATGTCTACCTGGACAGCGCCGACGAGTTCAATGATGTCATGCTGGCCGAGATGGAGGATGTTAGAAAGAGAACTGCCGGACAGAAGAAAGGTGGTATGGGTGGCATCCAATTTATCGACAAGAAGGATTGATATGTCACTTTTCAGACTCGAGAAAATCCAATGCTTTCGCATGTTCAAGGTCTTGGCAAGCCAGCATGAGCACTTACATGTGGCCTGTGAATGACTCCCATCAACTGGGAGCGAGCGACCTCTCCAGCCATTCGAGCCGTCACCTGCGAGGCTGGGTTGAGTCATACAACGAAGCGCATGACTTGTCAAGCAATGAGCTATTCCCATCAACCGTATATTCGGCCTTTCAGACCTCTACACCCAGCCTTGCGCTCGGGTTGGCCGCAATCACCACTGACCAACGATGAAGGTCCTCACAATGCGAATGCGCTTTGTATCCACGCGCCGTCACAGTTGCGGATTCGGTGGTGGAATTGATCATATTGACAATGCGCTTGATGGCGATGGCGCCCACTGTAGCGACACGGTCGTTGAGGTCTGCACGGCTCTCGCGAGGGCGTTCTCAATGCTCTATCCTCCCACCGTTCTCCCTCTCCGGAAGACTTCTGCAGCAAAACCACGATAAGGCAAATGTCCGGACTGCCGACAGTGGTAGTTTTTACCTGCACCCACTTCCGAGGTGCAGCTCTTTGTGACTCAGAACATGTCATAACCAGAAAAGGTTCCGGGAAAATCCATAGTCTGGCTGCGAGAAAGACCGCTCAGCTCATTGTTGCCAGAGTGGTCACCTGAAAGAAATTCTGGGCTGGGAAAATGGTATAACGGAGGCACGCCGTTGGTGAAGAATGGCTGGTTTATCATCGACATGGGTAGAGTGCTCGTAGATAGATCGAGTTTGTCTCCAATTCCCGGATAACCGTCCATGGTTGTTGTCGTTGTGCTGTCTTCGTCTCGTGGGAAGTCTTCGCTAATCATCTCTTCTATCATTCGTATTGTTTCGCGATTCAACACCAGAGACTTGACACGAGGCAGTTTGGGCCGGATTTCTTCAGCGGCTTCATCGCTGATGCGCTTTGTTGCTCGTTCGCCGTCGTAACGTGACACGCTCTCGGCCAGGGGGACTTCCGTTGCCAGAAGCTCAAAAATGTCTGAAAGGTCTTTCGTGCTCTCCCATCGCTCTGTAATGATGGTCAAGTTGTTGGAACAAGCTCTGATGGCCTCGAAAACTTTCTTGGAGTTGTACGATTCAGTCCTGAATTTTGGGGGCGTGGCCCAAAGACAGTACAAGATGGTAATGCCAATGGAAAATTGACTGATCAACTAGAGAGAAAAATGGTCAGTATAGCTTTTTGAGTTTCGAGCGGAGGATGAAAAAGGGTCGTCAAGCCTGTTTCCAGAAAAAGTGGCACTGTAACCAATTGCGCTCCTCAGGTTCAAATAGGTACGGTTGCTTGTTGTCATCTTGGAGTCTTTCGCACACAACGATACAGCTTTGGCCTTTGTCAGGAGCGAGGTCATCAGCTTCATCGTGTATCCCTACTGGCTTGCTGTCAAAGCACCCGTTGTCGCAAACCTGCAGGATTTCGATTTATATCGCCGACGTACTTCCTGTCAGACGGTGCCACTTTTCCTGGAAACGGGCTTTTCGTGTATGCGAGGGGGCACAAACTTACTCCGAGCATAGGGTGAGGCAGTGTTCGGTAGCCTTGAAACTTGCGAAAGATCAAAATCGTTCTGGTGCTTGCTTGGACGGACCAGTCACCGGCGGGGCCACGGACATTGGACTTTGTCGGTATGTGCAGATATAGGAGACAGTGATTGTAAACGATCTGAATCCAACGCTCATCTGTAGGAGATTTGGTGTTAGAATCCGCCGCTTGCAACAGCTGGGATTTCCAGTCGTCCAGCTTCGACAGGATGTAAGACCGCCAGTCGGACAGAGAGTCGAAGTTCATGGCGAAGTCGGATCGCATGGTGACGTTGAGAATCTCGGACTGGATCTGGAAACAGCGATCTCGATGCAAGGCTGAAGAAACCGAGGTGTATGTAGATGACCCATTCGATGCAAATGAGAGGTCCACAAGGGCCGAATCATCAATATTATCGAAGTGCTACCTTTCTGTCAGCCTTGGCCCACAATGACTCCTCAGGTGAGGACAGAAGCAGCAGCACACTTACTGGGACAGTAATGTTGTCATCCGCGATTGAGAAGGGAAGACGCAAGACACCGCAAGCCAATCGATCCAGACTGTAAGCAGCCCAGAATGCTCTCCGGCGCAATTGAATCTCCACTCGGGTGGCGGCGTCCACGGGTTCGGGTTCCGCTTCGATCAAATGAAACCGAGCCACAACGCAGTAGCGCACGGCGGAGGAGATGATGAGGGAGATCTGCTCCGTCGAGGGTGAAAACAGGGCATGAATGGCCATCATAACATAGGCTTGAACATGCAACAATCGACTCGGGTGTCGTAATACTGCTGGTAAATAGTGGTTGACGGCTTGGTCGTAGAAGTTCTGCGCGAGTTAGCCCAACGATCTGGTCCCAGCGATGGGGAGAAAGGCATTCACCTGCGAGGTATGAGACACACTCAGAGGTTGCTTCGGATCAAGTAGGAGGCTGACGGCGAAGAGCTGTCTCAGTGTCAGCAATGGGAAGATCCTTTTATCTCGTGTAGAGATGCTGAATATACCATGTTTACGAAAAACCCCTGCCAAAGATCGCCATGATGTCGCTGCTCAGCTGACCTTTTTTTCCAGCAGGCATGCCACGAGTGGAAAGTATCTTTCAGTAGGAAAGGCCACCTCCTGTTGGCATTGTTGAAATAAACGTCAATCAGATGCTCCTCAACATGTGCAGGAATTGAGTCTGGCCATATGGCCAGTTGATTCAGGTAGGTCTCAAGTGAAGCTGGGCGTGGCCCCAAGTTCTGGCGCAAGGCGGATGATGGAAGGCTGCCCACTAGACCAATGATGTTGCCCCCAGCTGTGACGAGGGGTTGCTCCTGGGAAGGACCACCATGGGTCGTTTGCAGGAAGGGGTAGGAAGATGGAGAGCCTGATGCTCCAGACGCAGATACATGGGTGCTTTGGGACTGATGAGTGTGAGTGGGGGATGCGCTACCGTCGTAGATGTGCATGCCCGAAGAAGGCCCTATATCGATCGGCCGAGAAGGCTCATGATGCTGGGAGTGGGTTGGCATTGCTGTGCGGAGAGGGGCATGAGCAGGGGGCGGCTCGTTTTCGGTGTTGTTCGACTCATGGAGCGGTGGTGGCGGTATGGTAGTATGCACTGTGGCATCGCTGAAAGAGCGTGAAGCCAATGGCACTTGCCTAACTCCCTCTTCTTCGTGAGCGCGTCCGTCATCCTCCCCGGATCCAAAGTTGCTGTCGAGATGCACCGATGCTTCTGGTGGAACAAGGCGTTCAAGTTGGCCTAATCGTTGCTCAAGAGATTGCACATAACTGCGGAAAATGGCATTAGTTGTGATGAAGAGGAATTGCCGGCGTCTCTCCTCTTGTTCAAACTTACTCTGCCTTGTAGCGCGCTCGCATCAACGTTGGCTCCGTAGGTGAGCATTCTAGACCCCAAATCAGTAGTCGCTCGCTAGGTATAGGCTGATGTTGCTGGCCCTACATACCTTCGTTGGCCTTTTTACAGTTTGAACAAGGACTCGCACCATCTCCGTCGCACTAGCCATTTGTTTAGTAGTGCCCATCAACGGTAAGCCTGTTTTCAGGAAAGTGGCACCGTCTGACTGTTGTTGCTCTTCAGGATCAAATAGATACCATTCCTTCTTGTCGTCCAGGGGCCTTTGCACACAACGATATAGCATTAAGCTTTGGCAAGAGGAAGCGCATCAGCTCTATCGTCCACTCGTACTAGCTTACAGTCAAGGCACTCGCGGTCGCGAATTTGCTGGACCATATACATATATCATCGTGGTACTCCCTGTCAGACAATGCCACTCTTCGGAGACAGGCTTGATGGGTACGCCAGTTATAGTGCTACTAACCTTCTGCTTGCGGTGACGGCATCGCTTGCAAGCAAGGATTCGCTGCCGCTTAGCTGGATGCAGGGAGCCGTCGTCACCATCTGGCTGATATCTGTGTCCGCCAACGTTGGACGTCTGAGCCTGAATGCGGACGTGATGTGGATCAGCATTTGACATATGTAGATAGGACTAGAACAGTGCGAGGTGCGCAGGGGTCTGTTCCTAGTCGACTAACCTCATAGGTCTGGGCCATGGACAATCACGAGGATGCTAAGAACCAGATATGGCTTGGCTCTCAGCCAGGTGTATGTGTCGACCTGAGAAAGGTTGATAGAATCGGTAGCTTGAAAGTGCGAACGAAGGACGCTTCGCATAGATGAGTTCTTATGGTTGGGGCTCGGGCCCGCTGGAGGTGGGAACCCTGATAAGGGCCATGATAATGCACCTGCCGCCTATTGACGAGGGCGACAGACACACGGAACGCAAGGACCCAGAAAGATAGAGGCGGGAGGGTCACCCAGACCCAGGCTGGATCAGAACCCTAAGGACGAAGAGTGCAGATACTGCAGGGCCATGCACCAATGCGCATACCAAACTACCTCGATGAGGCGGGTGCAGTATTTAGATATAGGTACCTCGTTGTCTCAGTTCTCAGACTGGGTATGGCAGGATTGGCGAGCCAATCAAAAAATTCAGCAGAATTGTTTGCCAAACGAGTCTGAGCTCCAATACGTGAAAACCCCTGTTCTTAGCGTGACTTGGCAATACTCTCCCAAAAGTTTTTGATATCGGTATAGAAACTTGTAATATTGCTCTAACTATCCCTTAATGTACTCGATTTTATTAGTAATTTCGGGAGTGCCGAGCTCTTCTTAAATACTTTATATCTCGATTTAAAACTATAGTACGAGAATTTTTTCTTATATACTACGACCTTTAGAAAATCGTAATTTTTAAAAAAATCTTAGTTTTTTAGAGATATATAGCTACTCTTTAAGTATTTTTATTAACGCTTTTAATATAATATA